TTCCTTGGGGGCTGAAGCATACCGAATTCACCTCTCCATCATGGGCATCCTGTTCACAAGAAAATTTTTATTTTACACTTCCAAAAATATATTATTTTCAGTAATTCATTAACTTAATTTTAGTAATAATAAGTATGGACTGAGCAACTTGTTATAGTGTACTAAGCCCAGCAAGAAAGGGGAGGTAAAAAATACTGTAACAATAAACTCAGCTCACTAACTAACCAGGTTATTTGTGATATAACAAAGGTACTCAAACTGTCCAACCAGGAGCAAACTCGTAGCAATGGTTTGGAAATAGAGTAGTGGATGGGTGAAACAAATTACCAAACATCATTCATTAACTAGAATAGGCTGGTTAGCTTCAAACATAGGTTGGATGGATATATGAGTGATAAGGGTTGGGTGTAAACAGGACTGCCCAGTATGGGCCAATAGGCTCGCTGCAGTTTCCTCCATTCTTATGTTCTTGTGTTATCAAGCAGAGTAAACACTCTTGCAATACAATACCTGTACAACCTAATATACTGTATCAGCCAAAATCTCAAGAATTCTCCCTAATTTAGATTTCCATCTTATCAAATGGTTATCCTTAAGGAGTCTGCTATGAAGGTAAGGGACAATCTAGTTTTTTAATTTGTTTCATTTTCAGATCCCACTTACAAGCCAGGGGTTTGGAGATTCGACCCATAGTTTTCTGGTTATCTGGAGTTGCTTGATTAATACATAAAGATATAAAATATTACCTGACATTTTCAATGCATAGTGTATCCTATCCTTACAGAAAAGACTTAAAATTAAGCATGCTGGATGGCATAAAGTGGCATGGGTCTTGCAGGTCATTTGCAAGAAAAAGACTACAATTCTGAATTTTCTAGATTGTACAATTGCCATACACAGAATTTTCCCCTTGCTAAACTTACAAATTTAAGGTAGGCCTTGGCTGGTAGAATAGCAGTGAGACAGATGGGAGGGCTGCAGGCAAATTTATCATCAGTATTCACTTGTTTGGGTTCTCGTGCTGCTTCTTTCAGTTGCTCCTCAAGCACCAATTGTCGTTTCCTAAAGGGTGTAATAACTTAAGTAATTTTCCCACAACATAGTAGGTCTGGCACTAAAGGTAGATGATACTTATACAATTACTAAGTGAAGGGTTCTTTCCACATATACTTTAATTATTAATCACTCTTGTAGGCAGTTAACATGTTATTGTACACATCTTATGAGAAACATGAACTTATACTCACTTAAGTGCTGTGTCATTCTCCATGTTAAGTTTTTCTGCATCTTTTGCCTTCTGTGCCATCCACCGGTCAATCAGCTCTCGATTTTCCCCCTGATGAAATCAACATGAAAATAATGACAAAATAAAATCAAAATATGTAAAGCAATGAATAAAAAAAAAAAAAATGTACTGTGCACTAGAAAGTAAGGTAGTCTTATATGACAGAGCTGAGTCTAAATATTCAACATGCATTTCCTTTTAACAACGTAATTTTTGGAACGGTGAATATAAACTTATACAGGTGTTGACCGTTATACAATGGCTCCATATACGATCGATCAGTTTTACAATGTTAAGAAATTAACACCATTTACCGCTATGTGATGCCTAAGATCAGTTTTACGATGGCTGCTTCCTGAATGCTTTTCCTGTATTGTCACTGCCATGAAAAAGTGATGTGCAATAACTCGCAATATTCTGAGATATGATGAACCAATCTGGGAATGGAATAACACGTGAAACCCACGTGGGATGCTTGGGGGGGTCTGCCCGTCCCCAGTGACTGCCAGGCTGAGCAGTTTAACTGTCACGTAGCCCAGAGGACGTGTGTGGAAGAAGTTATCCTTCCTATATAAAATAATATATACAGTATTACCCCGCCTAACGTGGTTTCACTTAACGCGTTTTATCATATACGCGGTGCCTCGCCAGAGCTGAACTTTCACTTAACACGGATTTTTTCCACATATACGCGGTGAGTGTCCGGCTCGAGACGCTATTTTTAGATTTGCCCCACCCGCCACCCTGCCTGACTGCCTGTTTTAGCTCATAAAATTCATACAAATTACCCGGTCAGAATATAATTTACATTGCTGGAATTCTTATAATTTGGTGATCATTTTGAATATAAACATCATATATTTTGCATTAGACATACAAATTTTAGATAAAATTTTTTCTCTGAGTAACTATGTTATCTTTTGTGCAAAATATATGACATTTATATTCAAAATATTCCTGGTCTTACAAGGAATCCAGCAATGTCAATTATATTATCCTAACTTTAGTTTGAGGTATTATTTATTACAAAAAAGTTAAGTATTCTGGTTTTCCCACACATCTCCTTGGGACGGTTGGTGGGGGGTGGGGGGGAGGGAGGGACCGACCGACCATCTGTTACCCTGTGAAGAATATTATTTTTTTTTATTAACTGAAGATATTTGTTTTAGCTCATAAAATTCATACAAATTACCCGGTCAGAATATAATTTACATTGCTGGAATTCTTATAATTTGATGATCATTTTGAATATAAACATCATATATTTTGCATTAGACATACAAATTTTAGATAAAATGTTTTCTGAGTAAATATGTTATCTTTTGGGCAAAATATATGACATTTATATTCAAAATATTCCTGGTCTTACAAGGAATCCAGCAATGTCAATTATATTATCCTAACTTTAATCTGAGGTATTATTTAATACAAAATGTTAAAATTTATTTTTTTCACCCCACATCTCTTGAAGGGAGGATTGGTGGGGGGTGGGGGGGAGGGTTGGGACTGACCGCGCGGTTGGAAGAGGGGGGAGGCAAGGTGGGGTACTTTGATTGACAGATAGTGTCGTGAAGATTATTTTTTTTTTTATTAACTGAAGATATTTGTTTTAGCTCATAAAATTCATACAAATTACCCGGTCAGAATATAATTTACATTGCTGGAATTCTTATAATTTGGTGATCATTTTGAATATAAACATCATATATTTTGCATTAGACATACAAATTTTAGATAAAATTTTTCTCTGGGTAACTATGTTATCTTTTGTGCAAAATATATGACATTTATATTCAAAATATTCCTGGTCTTACAAGGAATCCAGCAATGTCAATTGTATTATCCTAACTTTAGTTTGAGGTATTATTTATTAAAATTTAGTGGTTTTCCCCAAAAATTTCTCAGAGAGGGAAGAGCCGGCAGTGTAGTGTGAGAGGGGGAGGGAGTTGAGTCCATTATTTGAATGGACATTAACTTGGCGACTGTATTTCTCTATTTCTCTTAAGTATTAATTGTGTGCTTGTACCATCATAAAATTAAGATGTTATTTTTACTACAACATAGTTATGTGTCTTCAAAAAGTGGAGTTTGGGGGTCGGGCCGGTTTCTATTGGAATTAATCCCATATGTTCTGTTGTTCACTTAACGCGGATTTCACTTAACACGGGACCCTCTGGGTTCTATTGACCGCGTTAAGTGGGGTACAACTGTACTGTACTACCAGTAAATGTTAGGAATAAATAACCTATATATATATTTTTTAAATACTGTACTGCATTGCCATTTGGTAACCTTGTAGTTATAATGGCAAGCGAAGCACTGATTGGGTAACAAAAGCTATAACAAGACCTTCAGCCCCTCAGGGCACCACAGTATTATGTCCCCTCACTTGAGGCCAGTGATTCAATAAAATGGTAAAAGTAATTTATTTATCCAGAAAGGATTAACAGATTCACCCATGATGATATGGAGCCAAGTCCACAAACTTAAGGACCTCCTAATTAGTTACCCTGTTACAAAAGTTGACTAGTTCAAATACTGTACAACAATCAAAGGAGCACACAAAGATAATACAACAAGCAGAACATATATTTTTCTATATGCTAATACAAACTTACAAACCAACACACCTGTGCTTTCCTGTATTTATCTTCAAGAGCTGTAAAGGCTAAGTTGAGGGTTTGGTATTCATCTCGTAGTACTTGGTTAACAGCCTGGACATCTGCAAGCACTGCCTCTTTTGCTGCCAAATCTTCTCGTAAAATTAGAAGGTCTGACTCATATTCCGCCAATCTATGGGAAAAGTTATGGACTCAAGTGTGAAATCCCATTTTATGATTACTTTGATAAAGGGAGTAACTTGAAAGATTTACCACCAATGAAACCTCCTAGCATAGCCTGCTTATGCCATACATAAATTTGTGGACAATGTTCATGCTCCAAGCAACTTCTCGCACAGTCAAATCAGAATTTGGCACCTTTGATCCAGTGTTTGCCTCAATTGTCAGAATGCATCAGGTCTGGTGTTAAAGAATAAGGGTGAATAGGATGTAGTTCAATTAGAAGAAAAAAAGTAGCTGAAAGAAGTAAGAAATGCATGGGCCCATCCTGAGTTTTAATTTTATTACCTGGTGGGACACTGGTTTTTGAGATAAACACCAGATCTGAGATTTGAAACCCTGATTTAACTGAGTATGGACCTGTTTAAACTTTGCAGCATAAACAATATTCACAAGGACAATCCATCCTGACACTAAACAAATCAAACTCTCTAGCAACAGCAGGTCCTTCCAGTGGGATTTAGTGATGATAGATCTCTTAGGTCACCCTATGAGAATTCATGGGTCATAAAAAAAGATAACCCTATCATTTTCCTCAAATCTTAAGGTAAAGGATACAGCTCTCTTCCTGGTGGTATAGTGAAGAATATTCAATATATTTTTCATATCATAGTAATGTAACATGAATTGGCAAGTGAGGGGTGCCAAGGCTTGTTAATGACTTTACTTATCCTTCTAAGTATAAAGTACTGATGAGATCCTCCTTTATGAAACTTCCTCGGAGCATTACTTTCATCTCAAATGACAAACAGCACATTTCATACTAATTCAACTTACTTGTTGTCTTTTGATGCCATAAGTTTATCACGTTCCTGAAGGCACTGGTTCAATTCTACCAGTTGCTGAGCATTCTCACCTTTCCGTCTGTGCAAGTTTGTCAGCTCTTCTTGTAGTTTATATACTTTTTGCTCCAAAGCCTGGTACAAAAAAAATAACAACACAATATACTGGATTGCTTGAATACTTAAAGAAATTGGCATGTTATAAATGTACATTTAGACAAAATCTGTTAAAAAGGATGTACAGTAGTGCTATGATCATCAGCCAATGAAAATATGAAGCCTTGAGCAATTAAATTCCACGTTATGAGTGATGGGAAAAAAAGATTGACTTGTGAGATTAATACTGATGAAACATCCTTTGGCAAAGGATGCCTTTTGTTAGAGGGCCTTGTTCCTAAGCCTTCACTTATCAATTTCTTTTCTTTGAAGTACAGTAAGCCCTTGTTATTCTTGAGGGATAGGTTCCAAGGAATGGCGCGAATAGGCAAAACTGCGAATATCAACTTATACTACCTTAGTGCACTGCTGTATATCTATATCAAACAACTGACCAGCTGCGGGACCACTCATCCCCTCCTTTAACTTATCTAATAATAAAACTTTCTTTGTTAGGGTCATCACTGACTTCTGCTTTTACATTTCACTCCACTAGAGTCACTAGCACTGACACTAGGCAGTCTTTTAGTGGCCATTTTACACAGAAACACCAAAGTTTTGAGAGTAGAACACGAAATGCTGCGAGGGGTGACTCGTTGTGCTGCGGAAAAAAGCTTGCTATGCTAGCCACCATCTGCTCTCCGCAAATCGTCGAAATCGTGAATCGCAAACCCGCGAATGGGACGGGTCTACTGTAATTTCTGACAATCTCACCTCATGTCATTCTTGCCCTATCCCTAGCTCTCCTACTCTCCACATTCAAGTTTATGCATCTCTCTCTACATGTCCAAACCAACTCAGCCTACATTTGTACAAAACCTTGCCAAGAGTACTCTCAATATCCAGTCACTGACTGAGCTCTGAAGAAGGTACTTAGATTTGTACAGCACTTTACCAGACCCTCCTGAGCTTATAATTAGTCCAGTTTAGGAACACAATAATGTACCTAATTTTCTCTATCTGTTTTTAAATTGTTTTAAGAAAAGTACTTTACCTTATAATATCTGTACAATATTTCTTATTCATAAATTCTATGCATTATTTTTAATACTGTACAGTAATATACCAAATAATAAAAAGTCTGATTATTAATTCATAAAATATAAAGTTAGTTAACCTTCAAAGGTCTACTGCAGTGTATGGGTGCTACAGTACTGTACAACAAATTGATGAACAAAACAACATCTTCAGCATCTACACAATTCTTAACAGGGTGTTAGGCGAGTCTTTCTCATACAGCATCTCAGCTGTTTTAAGAATTTCTTCTGATGTTTTAAAATTTAATCTGGATAACCTAAGGTTATCATATATTTAAAAATTAATATCTTTCCCAATTTTAGAATACAAAAAATAGCCATGAAACAAGTAAATCCTTGAGAAATGCTTGATACAATGTACATACTATGGTAGCACCTAGTCACCCTTAACTCACCTGAACAACAACTGATGAGGATCCTCCACCTTCACCACCACCACCACCTCCCTGACTCTGGAGTTGTGTATTCTCTTGACGGAGCCTCTCATTCTGAAGAGTTAGATGCAGATTTTCCGTTCTTAGAGATTCGCTTTGTTCAAAAAGACGATTATCTGAAAAAATCACATCATAACCAAGCAATATGAGTATTAAGAGCAACTGTCATTTTACAATATCAAGAACAGTATTTAGTTTGTGTACCTGCAGTTTAAAATATCCATATCATATAACTAACCAAGGAGCAAAGGGAGGAAATTAACATGCTGAAGGAGAGACTGATGTCATGTATATAGCCTGACCAGTGACCACATGATACCATCTCCAGGTCACCAGATCTCTTTCCCCATAGTACCATACATGGAATTCAAAGATTTGTGTCAGGGATGTGTTCCAAGAAACCATAACACAAATAGGACCGATGTAAACAGGGCAAGTTTTTCCCTTTGACTTAAAGAATTACTTTAACAAATCTTTGATTAATGTTTATTTCTTTGAAATGAAAGAAAAAAAATTATCAGTTCTTAGAATTCAATTGACACAATGGCAAAAGAGAGCCTGAAGTGGTTCATTTACCAGAATCGAATGCAACCTGTTACAATTCACCAAACACCTCGGTGAGACAACAGGGCACCAAATATAGCTAAATATTTTCCTTTTTTCATACAATACCCAAATTTTTTCAGATTACCACTATACATGATAGTAAATATAAGTACTGTACTGTACCTGGAACTGTACTGTAAATGGTAATAGTCTAGATAACCAACTCATGAGAAGGAGTAACTTTACACAAATATCATATAGCAGAAAACTTGTTTCTTACCTCTTGAATATCAATAAAAGGTTGGAGGAATTAGACTTTCCTCCTTTTGTTTTCTCTAGTTTTTGTTTAAATGTGGTTTGTTGATGTGCAGATGCCTAATATTACCGTAAGCAACTGAACACTAACCAGGGAACTTTACATGCAAACTGTTAACAAAATAACAACCTAACCTAACCTAAAATAATAAACTCCCACCTTGGATAGATATTTTAGGTTAAGTTAGGTTAAGTAAGTTAGGTAAGGTTTGGTTGACTGGATGGATAGTTGATCTTATTCATGATATATCAACGGTTGTTGTGTGCTGGCGAGCATTCATGGGGAAGATAAAATGTTCAGGTATGATATGCCCTCCTGGAAAAAATCGCCAAAATACAATGATTGCTGTAAAACTTTGTCTATGTTCAAAAGTTGCAGCCAGTTTTCATGTACAGTGATCCCTCGGTTAACGAGCGCCTCGGTTAATGAAATTTCGGTTAACGAATTACCTTCCATAAGATTCTTCACTTCGGTTAACGAGCAAACCCTTGGTTAACGATTTCCTTACGAATTTTTCCCAACATGTTTTCGCCTGCATTTGGCTGCCCACCAGCTGTCGTATTAGTCCGGACAGTGACCACCTGAAAATGGGCGGACCCAAAACAGGTTTCAACTAGGCGCAATTCTTTTCAATTCTTTCACGCCATACGCTTTGTTTTAGGTCCTATCCAATATACAGTACTACCGCTTACAGAATTATTTTTATTATTATATCATAGTTTTTTATTGCCTTACATGTCCCCAACTCTTCAATATTAATCAAAATATTCCCCATAAGCGGCCATGATCCGCGTATTTTCAGTGGGAGAAATCGCTGATTGGTTGTTAGCTATTTGGGCCGCTTGGGTGCTGTTCAAGGCTAATGCCAGATCGAGGTGTTAGCTTTTCCCTCTGAACATTCCATGCGTACAACTCTTAAGCAATGTCTGCACAGACAGAATAGCTAAAGCGTTAGCTATTCCGTGCATCTGAAACGCCTTACAATAACCGCCTTATATGTTATTGTCTCACACGCCACACACACACAGCAATGGACCACCCAGTCACGAAACCATGTTAATATTTCCATTTTTTCATCATCATTAATATTTTATGACTATTTTCATCTGAATGTCCCTTTAATGCAGTGTATATGTTTAATAAATGTGATAAATGTGGCAGGAAATAAATAGAACATTCACATAATGGGAATATTCTGACTAGATGGTACATTGTGACTAAAGGTCTTGTACAGTATGTTGTAATTGGTACAGCTTATTTGCCATAGTGCTACTAATACATTTCGTAATTCAATTTTCCAGAATATCAAATTATCCTGCCTTTAACACCATCATCTCCAGCATTGAAATACTGTACTGTACAAAGAAGATCAAAATTTTCAAGATCAAAATAGGTTCCGGAGCCTTTGGTTGACCTTTACCAAAATTATAGCATTAATAAAACAGTTAGGTTTCAGTAACCCTTCGCTAATCGTCTTATTTAATTACTTGAGAAGGAAAATAAATCAATGTACAGACAGTAATTAAAGAAAATATTGCGATAAAAGGTAGTGAAATATTGCACCACTTAATTTTAAGGGAGTGACCAACATATTTACCATATTTGAAAGTTTTTGATTTATATACTTACGTAGTTGAATAAGATCATTGATGTTTTCGTATTCTTTTTTATTTCTTTCTCGTAGTTTACAATAAATGCTTTGTCGCCAGTCACCTTCACTCGCTTTATTCCAAGCCATCACAGCAGTATGTTTTTGGTCGCTTAACTTTCCGTTATCAACCACAACCACAACACCCTCTTCCTGCCATATATATTTTAATTTATCATTTATGAGTCTCTAACGCTATGGAAGTGCTTTTTATTTATTTAATTATTTTATTTACTACTCGATACTAAAAGTTTAGAAGAGTCGGTAATATTTAATAAATATCTTTGTTGAAATATTCAGCAATATAAATATACATTTTTAAATGCCATATAGCGTTAACAAACTTAAAATGAAATCACTTATATATTTGTGCACTTTATTTAAAGTGTTATTATTAATTACGACATTTAAATTAACACCTGGAGTACTGTCACCCCATCTGGTCCCCGAGATATGCTAGGGACTGTCAGTTGGTTGAAAATGTTCAAAGGAGGGCCACCAGACTGGTGCCTGCACTTCGGCACCTCAGCTACCCTGAGAGATTGGTGCGCTTGAACTTGCCTAGCTTATACTACAGACGGGCAAGGGGGGACCTAGTTGAGGTGTATAAGCATCTCAGGGGGCACGACTCAGTTGAGTGTCCTTACTTGGAGCTGGCGGACGCTCGCCCCACAAGGGGTCACAGCTCAAGATTGAAGAAGCCGCAAGTCCAGAAAACCGTGAGGGCAAACTTTTTCGGAGTGAGGGTTGTAAACTCTTGGAACAATCTACCAGAGAGTGTTGTGACGGCACCGAGTGTGAGCTCTTTCAAGACAAGACTTGACCAACACTGGAGCGGGTTCAGGTGCATTCAGGAGCCGGTGCATGCCCAGTATTTGCCAACAGTGCGTGACAGAGACGTGACCGATCACCCAAGCGGCTAGCGAGCCGACCTTTTGGTGAAGAGGATAAATGAAAAGGAAAAATAATCAGAGACGTGACCAATCGCCCAAGTGGCTAACGAGCCGATCAGTGGCGAAGAGGATAAAAGTAAAAAGTTAGCCGCTTGGGTTGTCGGTCAGGTCTCTGTTACGCATTGTTGGCAAGTACTGGGCATGTACTACAAGAGCAGATTCAGGAATATTAAAGGGGGGCAAGAAGTTGTGGGTGGGGAAACATGGCGAGTGTAGGGAACCCATCAGCATTTTGAAGGTCACATTTTACTATATAAAAATGCCTGAGTACAATACTGCATTAAAGAAAAAGTACTGGAATTTTCTGGTGAAACGGGGGCTCCGGACCTCAAGGACCCCCCTCACCCGGATCTGTCCTTGCATTGGCTCCTGAATGTATGTGAACCTGCCCAAGTGTTGGTCAAGTCTGGTCTTGAAAGAGCTCACACTCGGTGCCGTCACAACATTCTTTGACACGTTGTTCCAAGAGTTCACAATTCTCACTCCGAAAAAGTTTGCCCTCACAGTTTTCTGGACTTGGCTTCTTCAACCTTGAGCTGTGAATCTTTGTGGGACGGGCGTCCACCAGCTCCAAGTATGGACTCTTGACTGAGGATAATTTTTCTCTATAGAGTACGACCGGATGTTTCTGGTGATTTATCAAAGGCTAGGGAGTGTGGGGCTCCCACTGTTCCCAGAGCTACTTTCACACTCAGGCTTTTTGCTTCTTATGAGTCTACTTCTCTTTTGCTTTTATCCTCTTCGCCACTGATCGGCTCGTTAGCCACTTGGGCGGGCGTCCACCAGTTCCAAGTATGGGCACTCGACTGAGTACTGCCTTCTGATAGGTTTATACGCCTTGCTCGGCAGGTGCAGGCGCTCAATCTCTCTGGATAACTGAGGTGCCGAAGTGCAGGCACCAGTCTGGTGGTCCCCCCTTGTACATTTTCAATTAACTGACTGACAGTATCATATCTCAGGGACCAGACTAATACTACTCAAGGCGGGAAAGCACTCCTCCTTTATCCCCAACTAGTTATTGACCCAATGTATATCCTTATTTGGCTGCCAATGTATACTAATAAGTAATAGATTACTTCTGTCAAGACTAACCTCAATATAACGCCCTTCTCACATCTGTCCTGGGAATTTAACCCTAGACATTTTTTTTATTCTCTTCGACAATTGGGCGAATGGGCGGTCGGTTATGACTCTTACGCACGGTTGGTAAATACTGGGCATGTCCTGACTCCAGGTTGTATCTGTACCTGCGGTCAATAATGAGAAGTACGGGCGTTCCCACTAAACTACAAGCAAATGTGGACAATGGGAAACACTATTAGATATAATAAAAAGCAAAGCATTCGCACCAGCAACAAGTAACAATTATTCCCTAATTTAGCCATACCTCTAATCGATATCAGATATGATCTATCTCCCCAGTTTTTCTCAAAATGTTGTTTCCTTGGTTAATGCATCAAAAACACAAGGTTTTTCCAACCCCAGTCGTAACAAATATTACCCCTTGCCAATTGCCATGTCAGTATTTGTTACCATTATTCCTTGAAAGTTTTCTTTATTTGAACTTCATAATTTTAATATCACTTGAAGATTAACCCACTAGTTTATTTCATCTGATGATTAAATACCATATCATTAGCTCGAGCAAGCACCATCATTCACTCGAGCTAAACATCTGCAATAATTCAAATTAAACACCATCATTAACTCGAACTTGTTGAGAAGTTTCAATTATAGGTTGAACAGATATGGGTGAGAATTGTTGGGTGTAAACGGAAGCTGCTTGCATGAAGCAATAGGCCGACTGCAGCTTCCTATTTTTGTTGTGTTCTTAAAGCTAAGTGGAGTGGGGGGGGGGGTTACATTAGGTTAGACTAGGTTATGTTAGGTTCAGTGGCGTTTCTAGCCTTCGGAAAGTGGGGGGGCCACTTTTGGGCCAAGGTAAATGTTGGGGGGGCAAAACCAAACCTGTGTACAACTTGCAAGATGCAGTTTTTGGCATTATTACACCAATTTGATTGACAAATGTGAAGTGACGTCTCTCATGACGCCAGCCTAAAATAATCAGCATATGGCGGTATAATGGCAACGCTCTTATTTCACTAATCATGATTCATTGGAGTACTGACACACTTGAACATATCTCTAAAACTGTATTATTGCTCACATAGTCACATTAAGGGCGGGTGTACCACATAACAAACATTGAAAAATATAGCAGTGTCTTTACAATGTATGTACATACATCAGCGAAAAAATGAATGATCTCACGCTTCACACATAATGGAGACAACGTTTACGTTTTCAGACATGGGCGCCGCATGCACCTGTTACATTATACCCAATGGCAATGGTGCGGTTTCAGTTCACACGGTACTGTGACGGTATATTCAGTATAGCTTAATCCTACGATTATTATGTCGGCTGCCAAACTCGTCGACAAAACAATCTAAATCAATTCTCTCAGCGCGGTGCACTCTCAATCGATAGTAGCGCGATGTTACTCAGTCTGTCACTAGACATGGAATTTCTTAGGAATGTTTTCACTAATTTCATTTTCGAAAAGCTTCTCTCGCATGAAACACTGGTAACAGGGAGAGTTACAGCTATCAACAGTAATTTATACAAACAGTCAAATGCAGCCTTATAAGGGCATATAAATGACATATAATATGTCATAAGAATGCTTTAGGCCTACATTTTGTAATGATATAACTGATGGACTGTACTGATTTACCTTATACTGTACAGCTCAGCTCAACTATGGCCACTTGAACTGAATGATTGAGATTGACTGATTGTAATATTACTCCTATAGTTCAAAAATTACTCTCATGTTCTCTCTAAACATACCTCACTTAGCAAGTAGAAAACCCACAGTGGCACTGTGGTTAGGTTAACATTAAGGTGGTTAATCACAAGGTGAAATAAGCCGGGAGTGGGGAATTCCTTCTCAGCTTTTATTAACATGAAATCATCAGATCTTTAAGCGCATAGTATGAACACACCTCCATAACACTGATATTGGCAACCCTCTCTTGAGTGCAGGTCACTTATAGCAGCATTCCTTTTCAGAGACACTGGTATTATGCAGCTTCCTTTCTTTATCAAAATGTTAGAAATATTACCGTGTTAAAAATACAAACATTAAACCTTTGATGGGTAGGGGTCTCACTCAGCCACATAGAATCGTCTTGCGATACTACCCTCTAAACTTTAAAGTGTTAAATTACCATTTTATTCAAAGGGAGTGAATGATACAGTCTATCAGATATTATTCACATAATACTGTACTAACCGACCTAAACAAGACAGCTCGGTGACAGTGAGCGGCGCCTTAGTAACTTACACTGTTAACAATTGACAATGATGAAATGGATAGAGATTCAGGCCACATTTTGGCTGGAAATTTTAACTCGAGCTGTTCTCTCTGTTATATTTCTGTAAGTGTACATTTCAGACGTCTGTTACATGAAAGTATGCATGTGAGTTACCGTATGTAACAAAGCTTTGTCATTTTGTTCACCAGTAACTTTGCCATTCAGGTGTGATGAAGTCGGTAATAAATATGTAGAATAAAAAAAATCAATGGATAATTATAAAAATTCACATCTTGTTCACATTGGTTAAACATACTGTAGGTAGTAGGTGGCTACCAAACAGGGAGGTACTACCGCCTGGGAAGATATTGGAAGCATAATGTGTTGTCTAATGGTAGACTCTGCTGCCATATGGCATCACGAAAATTGTGACCAAGTCCCAGGTTGCTGATCTGACTTTTTGCTTCATTTACACGCAATTGCAGGGTCTCAATTCTTTCACTTACCATTGACAACACAACATACATACATACATCGTTTCTCACTTTTGATCTTTTTTTTCATTTTTGTATTTATAGTTCTTTATTATTAATATTATTAAACATTACAGTTACTGTATTATCATCATTATTTTAATATTTAAGTTGGATCATATGAAGATCTTCCCCCCCAAAGTATCCAACTGAAGATCCACCCCCCAGTCGCGCTCATATGAAGATCCACCCCCAGTCGCGCTCAGTCGCGCTCATATGAACCTAACTTAACCTAACCTACTGTAGATTTATACTTGGCACAGTCTTTGGTCTGGCATTTCCAAGCATAGCCATCATTAGATTTGGCATACTTCGTCCAGTTCATTTCACTATCACAAGAGGGACATTTCACTTCACTTTTAAGCATTCTGCGTTGCTTAAGCCAATTAATAACAGACAGAGAATCTTCAGTTAGCAAGGGCAGCACAACAGTCTTGAAAGTATCACGGTCCATGGTGCTCTTGATATTGAGTACATGGGCAAAATCTGACTATATATATATATACCAACACAAATGTGGTCATAGTGACGTCAGGTCAGGTAAGGTCAGGTTTGGTCATTGGTCAGGTCAGATCCTCCCATCCAGGCTTGATCATATGAAGATCCTCCCCCCCAAGTAGGTTTGGGGGGGAGGATCTTCATATGATCCTTTAAGTTTTGTTTGTTTTATCATAAATTTTATTTATTATGAATTATTATGACTTATTTATTATTATTATTATTATTATTATTATTATTATTATTATTATTATTATTATTATTATTATTATTACATTTTCGCCCCCAGGCCCAAATGTGGGTCAGTGACCTGTGTCCGGGTGGGCTAATCCCCATAAAAAAAAAAAAGAAAAAAAAAATCATATCGGTATACAATGTACAGACTACAGCTATACAGTACTGTAAAATGGCTACATGCCAATTAGAGGATTCCCAAATAGGTAATTGACGAATTGGCAATATTAAGGGTTAGTGGTGTGGGTTAATAGTTGCATAACGAAAAATTTCTACATAAGAAAACTAATATTCCAGATGGACCACTGACCAGTAGCTCTAGGGAAATTTATTTTTAAGAATGCTTTTTTTCTTGCTGGTTATCACAAGTCGGTCTCCCAGAGTATTTCTGAAAACTTACCGCATCACTTATTTCTAGGATAATCCAAATTAGGTAGAGGAATTGCTCTTTTCATTTTTTCCCCAAGTTTTTCCCATAAATAATGTCCACTGTCCGTCGTTCATCCAGTGATGCTATGCTAATGAACTACAGTACACTGTACTCCGTATTTTAACTGGTGAAGTGTCCATTGACACACTAAAAATTAATCAGCTGGTCCTCCAACTGAGAAAATTCACTTTATTCTTAGGAGTTACACATTCTCATATTTCAGATGAAAGTATCCTATAGAGTGTTTGTTGGAGATGTTAACTGTTGCAGCTCCTGTAGTGAAATTAGAGAGGCTTTTCCAACAGTTGATGGTTTTAGAAATTTGAATCAAGTCTTCTGAGACGAGATTCTGGGGCAGATTTGACCAGTTCTCTGGAAAATTGAAAATGGCACATCATCGGTGGATGTCTAAAAGATGTGCATCTTCTCCAGTCCCATAAATGCTCTTGTTGGTTTGGACAGATGTTTCCATTTCTTGGATGGCATTGAGGATAAGGGGTTTTGCTGGTGTCTCATTTTATGAGCACCATGGGAAATGAGGTTATGGGGGAAGTATCCTTTTATTGACAACTAATCTGCAGTTGTGTTCATGAAACACTGATGTTCTATGAAATATTTCCATTGTGTGAAATTTCTAAGGCAGTAGTCATTCTTATATGAAAACTCTTATGCCATTTCACAGCAGTACCATTTGCTGGTATACTGTGTCTGGGTAGATTGATGGTCATCCAATTAGTTCTTAGATTGGAATTTTTCTCTTGGATTTTTTCCTTGAGAGTTAATGCAATGGTGGATTTATTTACGATGTCAAAAAATCACCAACATCGGATCTTTTGTATCACCTGTTTTACCGGAGGGCTCATTTTTCCTTAGACTGGAATATCTGTTAACATATTATCTGTACTATCTTCTTCTCTCATGTATTTGAAGTGATTTCAAAACTGAAGGAGTTCTGAGGCATCTCTACAATACAGTAGTGGATCTTTTTTGGCCTAGTAGGGTGAGGTTCTCACCCTGAATCAGCTTTGTCTAAATCCTATTTAGCTTCTCTCTTTTACATCGAGTCAAAGATTGAATGGAGAAGTCATTTACTCTTCTCTTTTGTAAGTTGCCTACATGGATTTTCTTGATATTCTGGTACCTGGCTTTTTAGGGTTAGCTAGTTAATGGAAATGAGTTCAAGTGATGTGGCATCCTAGTTTTCTTGGTTGATATGGTGCATATCAACTGGCACTTTCTTTGACTTTTCCAGGACTTGTTCCACAAGGCTACCATGCTGGGGATCCTGGGTTCCTACTTCCTGAGACATCTTTCTGGGTATGATGAATAGGTTCCCATAGCTCAGGATAACACCAGAATTCTACATTAGCAAGGGAAAATTTGTAAGGTGAGTGCCTGTCTCCCTTTTTATGCTGGAAGCAAACTCACCATTGGAGTTGCTTGCCACACGGCACTTGGAGATTCTTTCCACCTCCTTTATTTGTATAGGAGGCGTGATTCATGGGTTGCTCTAAACTGATGACGTGTTGTAAAGGAGGGTTTGGGTCTTGATAACTCATTTTATAATGGGGCCAGTGAGGAGTGACCCAGATCCTGTTTAGATGTCCTTTGAGGTTGGTTGGAGGAAGGGCATGTTGTTATTGCAAACTTGGTTTATGACATCAAAGATCTGATCTGTTCAGTGGAAAAAATGAGCTGCCTGGCAGTATGAATCGTCACACTCCCAAATTTAAGGGTAATGTTAATTTTTATCTGTGGACAACTGTATTGTACTTTGGGACTATTATGTTATTCACACTCTTTCATCACCCAGATATCTCCAGGTTCATTGACTTAATTCATCTTGGAGATGGATGGTTGGTTGGTTACCCACAAAGTGCTTTGTGACAAGACGTTCTAATGAAGAGCTTCAGGGTTCAGTGTACAGTATATGACACTTGGACACACCTAAGGTTATTGCTATACTGTTTTCTGCTTCAGAATTACCAGGTACAGTATTCACTCTGTCATGTGTGGTATACAGTACAGATATATCCAAGAATTAGGGTGCACATCTAAGTTCTTCACTGGCACATGACCTCCTTTTCCTCCCTGATATAGACTGACTTAGGTCTTACAGAATGCTCATAAGGCTCCTGAGGCTTTAATGGAGGAGCAACTTTTGAAACCCCAAAATGTGGCTTTGATTCCCCTTATCTACACCGGGAAATTCATTATCAACTCAGAAAATGGTCAGATTCATAAAATCCTGTTTGGTTGGTTGGGATTTTTAAGTGGCTGTTTTCATGAGTTTTGAACATATGATTTGATCTTCTCACCAACTGACAGAACAAATTCTGGGTCTGATTATTTGGGTTCATCAGGGAAGGTTATGCTTTTTTCCCAACTGTACATTATAATTCATCTCTCACGAGTTTTCTAAATGCAAAATCTTTTATGGTCTTTCTCACAGGTCATTTCCTCATCACCATGGCTACATAATGCTTCATTTAAAGTTTTTAATCCTAACTAAAAAGCTCATTCCATACAGAGAGTTGGAACAAACACCCCCGTTTGTGCGCAAGATTCACATAGATGAATTATGGCTTTACAAGAATCCTCGTACGCCATCATATGTTCCAACTAGTATCTTATGGGTGAGTATATAAATAACACTGGTACTGTACTATAAATGCAGATATTTCATGCCATATACTAGTTATGTGGACAATTCGTCCAATAATACATTAAACTTGAAAAAGCCACAAAGAATATATTGAGGTAAGACAAGTACATTGGCTTGTACTGTTTCAATTTTTTAACCATGCCTTATTCATGCACACAAGTTGAAAAATAACCATACCTAGAATGTGGTCACCCCAGCTGACACCCAGGGGTGCGTAATTTTAATTTTTGTTGGGACCCAAATTTGTATAAGTGGGGAAGCTCTCGTAACACACAAAAGAAGTGGTAGTTTAGAAAATTCGTGTAAGCAAATTTTCGTATTTCAAACGTTCGTATCTCAAGGGATACCTGTACAGTACAGTATATACTGTACACTTGCATACACAAGTATTTTATGCAGGGATGTATCTTGTTTTATTTCGATTGGATTGATGTTTTAAACTACTGTATGTTCTATTAAATATGTAGTATTTCATTATATCTGGTCTGATTCTATTTTAGTTTTCTTCCTTTGCAGCCCCTTGTGTTCATAGTGCCAACATCGGTAATGCTTCTGTACTTCCTGGTAAAACGTGACAGGACTGAACTCTGTCAGGGGCTCTTTGCCCTGTCACTTGCTCTGGGATTGAATGGTGTCATCACCAATATCATCAAACTTATTGTTGGTATGAAAACTATAGTATCTATCTAATTCAACTCAAATTTGTAAATGAAGCCCAAAGTTCACAAAATTACATACCTGTACACAGAAATGAAAAGAGAGTATTTTTGTTGAACGAGATATAGGTACAAATTCATTGTACAGTACTGATAAAAACTCCTGATTAGTTTTGTTAAATTTTTCATTGTACAGTGATCCCTCGGTTAACGAGAGCCTCGGTTAACGAGAAATCGGTTAACGAATTACCTTCCATAAGATTCTTAACTTCGGTTAACGAGCATTCCCTCGATTAAGGAATTCCTTACGAGTGCCCCTCAACATGTTTTCGCTTGCACATTAGCTGTCGTATTAGTCCGCCAATACTGTAATCGGTTCTAGGACTTAAATTCCTTACTATTTTAGTAAATATCAAGAAGTTTGTACTATTCAATAAATTTAAAAGTCTTATATTAAAATTTTTAGTCATTTTAACAATTATTTAACATAATTGAATACAGGGAAACTAGTTTTAGCGCGCCAAACAGCCTGTCAACACACAAAGCAGGCGTCAGTCTCTGTGTCTTTTCAGAGTCTCTTCAACATAAATGCTTTTTTTCTGTGTTTCCAGTCAAATTATTGGTCATTTTGAAATTTATTTTACATATTGATGATATATAGTGCATTGCAGTGTTAATTTAAAGAAAATATTCTTTATTCACAGCAATTAAACTTAAAATATCACTTGTTGAAATTTTTTTTGAATCCAACATGGGTCCCAAGAAATCAAGAAAAGCGATTTCAATTCAGGTGAAACAGGAAATTATTAGAAAACATGAAGAAGGCATTAGAACAAATGTGCTTAGCAAAGAATATGGCATGTCGACAATTCTTGCACAGAAAGACAAATTCAAGGAAGTGAAAGTGAGACAAATCTACCAGAGTGTTCAAAGGTAGATCCCTAATAGCAGAAACAGAGAGGTTACTTCTCATCTGGATTAGGGAAAAACATGAAAGGTGATTCAGTTTCTATTGAATTTATTTGTGAAAGAGCCAGGGAAATATACGAACATTTAAAGGTAGATCAACCTGGTTCTTCAGGCACTGACTTTGAAGATTTTAGGGCCAACAAGGGCTGGTTCGAAAAATTTAAGAAAAGAAGTGACATATTTAGTGTTGTTAGGCATGGTGAGGTTGCCAGTGCTGATAAGGAAGGGGCAGCAAAGTTTTTAGTGGAATTTAAAGAACTGATGGATACAGAAAACTATCTTCCACAGCAAGTGTTCAATGTGGACGAAACTGGGCTGTTCTGGAAAAAGATGCCCAAAAGGACATTCATCACCAGAGATGAAGCCTCTTTACCTGGGCATAAACCCATGAAAGACCATCTCACTCTATTGCTTGGTGCCAATGCTTCAGGGGATTTCCGACTGAAGCCTATGCTTGTCTACCACTCTGAGAACCCCAGGGTGTTCAAGCAACAAAAAGTGGTAAGAGGAAGGCTTGGAGTTTATTGGAAGTCCAACCGTAAGGCATGGGTAACAAGACAGCTCTTTAATGAATGGGCTGTTGAGGTGTTTTGCCCTTCTGTGAAGAGCTACCTAACCACCAATAAACTCCCTTTAAAGGCTCTTCTCCTTATGAATAATGCCCCTGGTCATGACCCTCAACTTGCCAGAACTTTGGAGCCTCAATTTGACTTTGTCAAAGTGTTGTTTTTGCCTCCCAACACTACATCAATCATACAGCCAATGGACCAGAATGTGGTCAGCAATTTTAAGAAGCTGTACATGAGGAAAATGTTCAGGAGGTGTCATCAGGCAACTTCCACTGATCTTGAACTAACACCAGCACAGTTCTGGAAGACACAGTTTAACATCCTGGAGGCTGTAAAATTGATTGTGTCCTCATGGCAAGAAGTCTCCACTAGATCCCTCAATTCTTCATGGAAAGCCTTGTGGCCATCAGTAGTCCATGATTTTGAGGGATTTCAGGATGAAACAGAGTTGCACCAGGAGATTGTGTCCATTGGTCAGTCATTGGGCCTTGAAGTGGAGGAGGATGATGTAGAAGAGCTTGTGATGTCTCATGAACAGGAACTTACTCCTGAAGACTTGCAGCAACTGGATGAGATGTTAGAGGCTGACAGTGGTGAGGAGGAAACGGAAAGTGATGACCATATGTCAACTTCAGAGTTGAAAGATGTTGACCACTGGGAGAAGTTCAGGAAACTGGCTTCAAGGCACCCAGATGTGGAAAAATCTGAACTAGCTTTGTGTCATGTTGAGGACACAGTGGTCTCCTTCAAACATCAGTTAATGATGAGGAGGAGAGATGCCCCACAGACAAAATTGACAGTTTCTTCAGTAAAAGGCAGTGGGAACAAGATGCTAGCCTTCCACTTCAAGAAGGAGAGAGGATGTTCATGGTGGAGAATCTGTCAGTCCAGAGGTTCCTGACATTTTCATGGAAGGTGACACACCTTTCAAGAAGCAGTAAAATGCTTCTCCTCCACCTCCACTTCCTTCTCTTCTCCCTTCTCCTCCTCCACCTCCCACTTCAAATTCACATCAGCATCATCATCCAGGAGCCTTCTACATACACACCTCAAAGTAAGTGTACTTTACTACCTTTTTTGTTGACTTTAGGCAATTTTCGGTGAGCTGGAACCAATTACCCCAAAACGCATTGAAGTAATGGTTTCGGTTAACGAGCAACCTTCTGGAACGAATTGTGCTCGTTAACCGAGGGACCACTGTACAGTGGTCCCTCGGTTAACGAACACAATTCGTTCCAGAGAGTCGTTCGTTAACCAAAAATTTTGTTAACCGAATCCATTGTTTCAATGGTATAGTGGGTAATTGGTTCCAGCTCACCAAAAAGTACATACAAAGTAAAAAAAAAAGAAAAATGCAGTAAAGTACACTTACTTTGAGGTGTGTATGTAGAAGGTTCCTGGTTGATGATGATGATGGGAATTAGAAGTGGGGGTGGAGGAGAAGGAAGAAGAGAAGGAAGTGGGGATGGAGGAGAAATCACCTTTCAGGGGACCCATGCTTGATGTAGTAATTTCACCAATAAAATTTTAAGTTCACTAGGTGTAATTCAAAATTATTTTATTTAAATCAACACTGCACTGCGCTATATATTATCAATATGTTAACTAAATTTCAGAATGACCAATAATTTCAATGAAAAATGCAAAAATATTCAAGACACCAAGAAAATAGATGTTTACTCCACTGTCAACAGAGCCCAACTGACACCTTGTGGCCGAGTCAAGCATCTGATGGGCGCACAAAAAACTAGTTCCCTGTACTGCATATATTATCAATATGTTAAATAAATGTTAAAATGAGTAATAATTTTAATATAAAACATGCAAAAATATTAAAGAGCACAACTTTATGGATATTTACTCCACTGGAAATGAATGTAAACATAGAACAGATTACTGAATTGGCAGACTAGCCCATCAGCTGATGCACACAACAAAACGTGATGTTTGTAAGGATTTTGTTAATAAAATTTTTTTTCATTAACCGAATTGAAGATTCTTATGGAAGGTATTTCGTTAACCGAACCGTTCGTTAACCGAGGGACCACTGTATGTGTGGAATGGATAATTATTCATTTCTATAAAACTGACAAATTTTTTCTAACCTATTGAACTGAATATATTTTGTAGCCCAGTGGCCCCAGGCCTTATGAAGCTGTGTGCTGAATTTAGTACTAGAATACCCGGTAACCATATTTACTGAGGCCTTGGTTCCAAAATTAGGTCCTTTGTCTAGGCTTAAATGATAATAGTAAAAAAAACAGAACATTCGACTTGAAGAATAAGTTCTGCACATACATCCCTAGGTCCCTGACAGACTGCCTTGATTATTTTGCCCATGCCAATTTCAGTAACTTGGGGATCACCATGTTGGATGGACACATATAAACCTTGTCGAGATTATTGTCTTTCATACATGAATGGTTTGATAGCTTAAGCTAAAGACTTTCATTTTGTATTAGTTGACATGACAATACATTTAGAGTCTACATGTGGATGGGAATGTAAAATAAATTCCTGGGTGTGGTTAGTTCAGGGCTCATACTCTAAAGAAGTTACTGATAGCTTTGACAGTTTTCTGTACAGATAGCTTCTATAACTACTAACTGCAGATATTTACATCTGACTGAGTAATGTCCTTGATTTATGATTTGTCCTCAATGATTTGATCAACCAGGACGACCACGACCAGATTTTTTTTATCGCTGTTTTCCGGATGGACATGAAGATCTTGGGAACGTCATAGACATAGGTTCAGTATGTACTGGAGAGGCTCACACAATACAGGAGGGACGCAAGAGCTTCCCTAGTGGCCATTCATCATGTAGGTATAAACTCTTAAGTAAAATTCAGTCAGATTCTTGTTAAAATAATTTCTTTCAGCAGGTCACATTAATTCTTAAGTTCTTGTATTCTTTTTTCATCCCATCTTTGATTTCCCTGTTCTTAAATTCCTCAGTCTATTGACTTTCTGCTTTTCAATCTTAGCCACTGTTTTATTTTTGGTTTCCTATCCATCTCTGGCATAACATCAAGTATCCTTCCTTCGTGAAAAATCCATCCTTCCACCAGATTTCTCTGATTTAGGCTGAATTGCAATATTGTCCAGTATATTGTAATGTTTTGTATACAGTATATAATTCTTATTAATCCCTCAACATGTTCATAAATTACTCTTCCCATTATTTGGGTGGACAGTTTCATTTTGTAGCCTGGGGTTCCTCAGCTTGTGGATCTTCGGAAAACTGAGTGTTTTCAGCAAGAGGCGTGGGCAAGGCTGGAGGCTTGTGGTCGGCATGGCTCCTATCATATTGGCTTTAATGGTTGCTCTTTCGCGCACCAGTGATTACCACCACCATTGGCAAGGTAAGGAAAAAGATTTCTCAGCATTACAGTGACCCCTTGTTTAACGAACGCCTCGGTTAACGAAATTTCGGTTAACGAACTGCCTTCCATAAGGATCTTCAATTCGGTTAACGAACAAAAAGTCGGTTAACGAATTTCTTACGAACCGACCTCAACATGTTTTTGCTTGCACTGACCGGGCAACCAGCTTTAGTATCAGTCCGCCAATACATTAATCGGTTCTAGGGCTTAAATTCCTTACTATTTTAGTAAATATCATGAAGTTTATACTATTCAATAATTTTAAAAGTTTGATATTCAATTTTTTAGTCATTTTAACAATTATTGAACATAATTGAAGGTAAAGTGACTAGTTTAATGCGCGGCATCCAAGCTCTTAACACAGCAAACAGGCGTTAGTCTCTCTTTGTTTTCACTGGAGGTAACATCTTGCTTGAGACTCTCTTCAACTAAACGCTTTTTTTCTGTGTTTCCAAGCAAATTATTGGTCATTTTGAAATATATTTTACATATTGACAATATATAATGCAGTGCAGTGTTGATTTAAAGAAAATAATCTTGAAATACACCAAGAGAACTAAAATTTTATGGGTGAGATGATGCCATGGGGTGACTTCTCTTCCACCCCAATGCCTTCTCTTCTTCCTTCTCCAACCCCATTCTAATTCCCATCATCATCATCCAGGAGCCTTCTACATACACACCTCAAAGTAAGTGAACTTTTCTACCATTTTTGTTGAATTTAGGAAATTTTCGGTGAGCTGGAACCAATTACCCAAAAACCCATTGAAACAATGGTTTCGGTTAACGAACGACCTTCTGGAACGGATTGAGTTCATTAACCGAGGTGTCACTGTATTATGTAATTCTCTATATGGTGATCCATTTTGCTTTAAAGGCTTTAACTATAATTACAGTGGTAGTTGTAGATGAATATTTTATGAGCAATGAACACTTCAATAAGAAATTATGCTGTGAGCATAGAGACAGATTAAAGCATCTGAATTTACACTCAAGACATGTAGAGTGAAGGGCGATATGATCGAAGTGTATACTGTAAATGGATATCAGGGTTAAACAAAGGTACAGTACTTAAACTATCTAACTAGTAGCAAACACGTAGTACAGTACAGTAATGGTTTTAAATTTGACAAATTTAGATATAGGCGTGAGATAGGCAAACACTGGTTTGGAAACAGATTAGTAGATGAGTGGAACAAGTTACCAAACACCATCATTAACTTGAACACACTGGGAAGGTTTAAATATGTTGGACAGATATATGAGCAATATGGGTTTGGTGTAAATTAAATGGGATTGCCTAGTATGGGCCAATAAGCTCGCTGCAGTTTCCTCTATTCATATGTTTAATTAATGCCAGCCCTCACTATTGAGTTAGCTAGAGTTGCAGTTCACAGTCTTAGTGGTTGAAAATTTAAGTGACCTTGTTTTGAGTCCTTTGACTTTGTTGTAAAATTAATGAGGTTTTATTGTCATAAAAAAAATTATTTAGTTTAGTTTTATTTGTGAGTAGACAATACTGTACTCATGATTTCTTTTCTCCCACAGATGTTTTAGTAGGATCAGTGCTTGGACTGTTTATCTCCTACTTGTGTTACCGCCAGTACTATCCACGTCTAACTTCCCCACATTGCCACCTTCCCTACCTCATGGTACCTACTGTCATCCAACCCAAATGTGCTAATGGAATCCCTATGAAGGAGTTCCCAAAGTTTCTTGACCCAGAATCTCCAATAGAAGAACAAGTTAAGTGGATGTAACTTACTTTAGAACAGAACTGGAGTGTTTTGATTCAGATTATTGAATGAATCTTCACTCATTTCTGACAAAGGTGATACGTATTTTTACTGTTAATAAAGTCCATAACAACACTGTAATATAGTAGGGCCTGTCTACCTTGGACCTTCTACACCTTGGAACCTCCATGAGCTAGCATGGTAAAAATATGACGCAAGTTTTCAAGCCATATAGTACTGTATACACCTCGAACACAGTAAGTGCATATACAGTAGTCCTTGAGTAGTACAGAACTGGTCAGAACCTGCGTACTATTCAAGTTAAGCTAATTTCAACTGTGAGTTACCTCTGCCAACAATGGGGGTCCCATTTTAAGATGAGACTTGTTATGTTCACGAGCATTTACAGAAGGTACAAGTCCAAATTCTTTAAAAAATTAAAAGTATTAGGGGAAAGATAAAGATTTTATGACTCTTTTTTAAATATTTGTGTAAACATAGTAGCCGTATACAGTATTATATATTGTATATAGTAGGCTGAGAAGTTGTATAACAAGTGTAAACACTGTATTTTACAGTATAATACACACACACACACATTCCACCTACATACTCTACCATCTCTGCCTAACACACGTCACCTCCCCACATAAACCCACTCCACCTCATATACAGTAAGCACCCCACATTCCCTTCACACACTACTTCTCTCTCACACAAACACACTTCCCTCTCCCTGCCACAGACACACTTTAACCCCCCCCACACACACTCTTAACCTCCTCATATGCACTCTACTTCCCCTCACACAAATACACACACTATTCCCCCAACATACTACACTTCCCTCACACTCACACACATTCCACACATAAGCTCAGCCCTTTCTCCCCCACACACATTCCACCTCTTCCCCTCCCACACACACATTCCACCTCTCCTCCCACACACACATACATACATTCCACCTCCCTCCCCCACACACATTCCACCTCCTCTCCCCACACACATACATTCCCCTCCCCTCCCACACACATACATTCCACCTCCTCCCACACACAATCAAATGTAAGTCTGTATATTTTCAGCCACGCTACACTCTATTAATAAACCTTTATTAATATTATTGTTACATTCCACCTCCTCCCACACACACACACACATTCCACCTCCTCTCCCACACACACACACATTCCACCTCCTCTCCCCACACACACACATTCCCACCTCCTCCACACACATACATTTCCTCCCTCCCACACACATTCCACCTCCTCCCACACACACATTCCATCTCCTCTTCCCACACACACATTCCACCTCCCTCCCACACACACACATTCCACCTCCCCTCCCACACACACACATTCCACCTCCCCACACACACACACACACATTCCACCTCCTCCCACACACATTCCCTCCTCCCACACACACACACACACATTCCACCTCCCTCCCCACACACACACACATTCCACCTCCCTCCCACACACACACATTCCACCTCCTCCCCACACACACACACACACACACACACACATTCCACCTCCCCTCCCACACACACACACACATTCCACCTCCCCTCCCACACACACACACACATTCCATCTCCCCTCCCACACACACACATTCCACCTCCTCACAGCAACAAACAAACTCCATCCCCACACACATTAATTAATGGGGTAATCAGTCTTGTTGTTAAATTTTTAGAAATGTTTTATCTTTGCATTTTGTCATTTCATTCGACCGTATTCTCTCTAGTGAGTTTTTTCTACATAAAGGGACTGGAAAATGTAAAATTTAGGGGAAAAGTTTTAAAAGTTGTAACTGTTCTAACCTCTGAGTGCAGTCATTCAACTCCACCTCACTCCTACAGGCTTGTTAGTTCCCATACTTGATATCAGCAATGGCAGGGTTTATATAAGTTTATACAGTATTTTATACAGGGTACTAGAGGTGAATATAGTATGGATTTGCCATTGTGGTTTGTGTCTGGATGTTTGTATGTATGCACTGTGTGTCAGAGCATTGCATAACTTGGTAAACACTCATGTTTTCATAGTGTATCCCTGTTGCATAATTTGACAAGCACCGGCTTTAGGTGTCCTTAACACCATCTACATATCCCTGACTTTTTCATCTGCAGTATGAAGTGTGTGGTATTAGGTTACTGTATTATTATAGCCTTGCTCTTCATTTTTTGGTATTCTTGTAAATTGAAAACTGTCGTATAATGACAGAGAATTCCATATCCATTTGCAGGTTTTTCAAAAAGATGACTTTGGGTTTAGGGTATGTGCTCTCTTTACTTGGACTCCACTATGTCCTTAGTATGGGTGCTGTTGTAAATGGTTTGAGCTAGAGGTGCTACTGTATTTAGGTTGAATTCTTACATTCTCAATTCATAAGCAGACACATAACTTCATTCTTTTATTAAAATGTATTAAGTACTGTAATGGGGCACTTTAGTTGGAAAGAGTTCATTCCATTTTTAAGTGAACAAAAAACATAGACTGTAGGATCAAGTATCATAGCAAGCCTGTACTGTACTGCAGTAAACAAAAGTGGGAGAGACAAATATATTTTTAAGGTGTTTTACATGTGTGTAAATGTAAACAAATACTGAATAATTTGATTAGTTTTTTGTGACATCATACAAGATTCATAATAACTTTTTTATAAAGAGAATTGTTAATAATTTAAGACAATTATATTGTCATTCTAATAGTACGATACAAATTGTATGAATATTCCGTGTGACTATTTATATATAGCATATATTTTGTGTTAAACTTGCACAGTATTTATGTAATGAGTGTTCTAATAAATTCTTGGGTATTATTTATAATGTATTTTATCCAATTTTTTTAACTAAATAGGATTTTGTCTTCCATCTTCAAAAATATTTTCTTAAAAAAAAAATGCATGTTTATGGCCTATAGGTTATTTACCAAATGACCTGACCTAATCCCACTGTAACACCCCTTGGTAGATCACAGTTGTGGTCTAACTACATCAGGGGACGGACATGCCTAAAGCTCCTCCTATATCTCCAACCATCTACCCTCACCCAGCATGCTGTTGTTGCCAACATGGGGGCAAAAGGAAACAACTGAAGTGACAACTCTCTCCTCACAAGGGTTCCCCAGTCTTTAAACCATGGCCTTCTCAGGTATTCACGCAGCCTACCGACTCTCCCAGGCCCAGGCAGTGAAAGTAGTGCTTATGGATGACACTACCCCTAATGAGGGCTCAGCAACAGGTGACCTGACTCCCCCCCCTACTGCCCAGCCCTTGGTGTCATTTCAGGATGCTCAACTCACTCAACAGCTGATCTTGCATTTCCCCAAGGACTCCCTCTCAGATATCTGTGAATAATTTTCATGAGCTACAAAGTGTTACAGACAACGTGGGACAACCTTCCAAGTACTTTGAGGTAAGAACCTTAACTTTGTCAAGTGTCTCAGTCAAGAGACTCATAATACCCTAAACACAGTTGGATTTGAAGGTGTTATTTGCAAGCCACCACCAGTTGATGCAGCTGAATGCTGCCACATTGTGATAAGCAATCTCCTGTGATGGCTGACATCAATGACACTAGGGAACATAACCTCAACATAAGCAATAACTGCCACCATTTTCGGGGCAACACTCCACAAGCTGCTGTCACTGTGAAATGGAAGGGGAAGGGGTGTCCATCAATTGCTGATGCACATCCAAACCTTCAACCACTACTGGATTAACCTTATCTCCTGGAACCTACCTTCTGTGTTACCAGTTCACACTGGGGACACACCAAGTCCACCCGTTGCCAAAACACTCGGCCATGATGCAGGTTCTGCTCAAGAAATCAATATTCCAGCCCAGTACCCAGAAAATCAGCGACCATCAAAATAGAGGTGGTATGTGTCTTGTGGTTGAGCCTCAATGCTGCAATTGTCATGGTCGCCACAACATTGACTGACGCTGTCCTAAATACTCATCTGTCCCTGGTGAAAAACCCCTCCCAACTACAATAATTACATCCTCTATCACTGCTTTCCACCAGGTCATCCTATTCAGCTGACCTCACTAACCATCATCCTGCTCTCCCTGTTACTATGTCAGCGCCTACTGCTCCCCTAGCCTGACCACAGCCAGATGCCTCCTGCCAACTGTACTCTGACACTGCCAAGCTTTCTGGATCCACTAGTGGGTGTTCAATCCCCCCATCCCCACACAATGAGACAGGTGCCCTGTCCCTCCTGCAAAAACTCTAGTGACAGCAAACTATGGCAATCTTTGCTGCCACTCACTCACTCCCCCCTATTTCGTAGTTTTTTCAGAGGTATTTATTCAGATTTTATAATGGGAGTCTATGGGAAAACGTGGTCTGATTTATGAAAGGCTTTCCAGGAGCAGTGAGATTTATGAAGCAAACTCCAATTTGAATCTAATGGTGCTTTGAAAACAGAACCATCAGTCATGAACTTGGGTCTGGAATTTCATTCCTCAGTTTCTCTGATTGCTACTTTTAGTCAGCAAGTGTTGCTTGCAATCTATGGTACTCCTTATGGAGTTTACAAGGCTAACTGCTTATTAACTATGTTTTTCCACAAGATGGATATGTAGGCTACTGCTTTGCAGTATCTTCGATAAGATTGTCTTCCTTTTATAAAGGTCAGTTATAGGCAATTACCTTCATTCTAATATACAGTATTAATTCCATGTAACTGGAACATGGAAGCATTAGAAAGGGTTGTTGGCTTAACACATACACTAAATAATACCTTACCAAGCCACTATGAAAGCTTTTCAAATTCAGATATACTGTAGTATACAAAACTATCTTGAAAGTATGTGTATGTGGCAACAAGGGTACGCTTTCTGTTAATGGTAATACACAATGTTGCTATATAGTAACTTAATGGTAGTCAGATATTATAGCGAGTTATGAACACCACTCTTGAGCCAATGTATACAAATTAGTAAATTAGGATATCAGATTTTTTTGTGTAATAATATATCGCATATGGCAACATCAAATAAAGTCCATGAGTAAGTCACACAATATACAGATGCTATAATGGCTCACACCAGTTGACGCTCAGGGGAGACGGGATGCACATTGCTCTCAGCATTTCACAACTTTTATGATACTTTATCACACCAGCTTTCCATGACTAATGCATTCACCAACATTTGTGACTATATTATTTGCTCATTGGCGCTGTTGCCACATCTACTACGTTTGTTATGTACAGTACGGTAGTTGCATACTTTTCCCCACAACTTTGTTACCCCAATCAACTATTCTAATATGTGCCTATGTAAACAAGTACTCAGTATCATATATGTATGTACGGGTATTTCTTGTGTTATGAAATTTTTTGAATGTGAATATGATTTTGATCCCCTCTAACTTTGGGGTGTGGTTTAGAATCTAAGGCCAAACTTTTTTTACAAAAATTTTGTCCAAAACTCACCCTGCAGTTTAGGGGGCGGCTTACATTCATAAAATGCGGTACTGTATATTAAAGCACCTCAACATCACTATATTAAAGCACTTCAATGCCACAAAGAATGAAAATGATAAAATGTTAAATAAAATTGGTAGAAAAGAAGTTAGGTTAGATAATGAAAAAAAAAAACGGTATGAAAGCACCTCTCTCACACGACGTAAATTTAAAATGAAAATGGTAAAACTAGGGTTAGAAAAATAGTAAAAAGATGAATGTTTTCTTACCTAAGTTAAGTTGTACGGGCCACACTAGGAGGCTGAAGAAGTGCTGTTGATCCAAATAAACACTTTCACTCAGCCACTCTGGAATTCGGTGGATTTGCAGGTCTGATCTTGGGGGAGGGTGGTGTGACTTTGGCTTTAAAAACTATGACTCCTGAGGTGGTTCTTGGCACCCTTAAATCCAGAAACAGTCTTTTCCTCCTTACAAGGAAGGTTCAGGAGGACTTTCTCTTCCAAAGTAATCTCATTTCATCCAATTTGATAACTTGCTTGGGGGTTGTATCTTCCTTCCTAGATTTTCACCTTCAGGATAGCAGGGAAGGCAGCAGCAGCTTCTCGGTACACATTTGCTACCATCTTACCCATGAGACATAGGCTGTGGAGGTTGGCATTTAACTGCTCAATCCAACCCAAACTTGCCTTGAAAGTCTCAGTTCCTCAGTCTGTTCAAAGTCTAAGTCCGTTTTTATGTCTCCCACAAGCTCCAAACCTTGGACGTGAAGATGTTTGTAGACAGACATGTGGCGGTGAGTCTGGTCTTGTATCCACAACTGAAGCAGTCTCTTCACGTTATCCGCGATGGGGGTCACATGCTCTCATTAGCCTCGTGACGGTACTTGCTGTCACACTGTCCCACAGTCTTAACTTATGGGGTATTCTTGATAACAGTAGAGACAGTAGACTGGGCCAAACCAAGCACTCTTGCGATGGAATTGGTGCCTTCATCCCTTTCTTAGTGGTGTCCAGTTTACATCCAGGCTTCAGGTAGCAAGAGACACAGCTGCACATTTCCCAGTCATTTTAAAGTTCAATCACAGAATTCACTAGGAAATAACACTCTAAACTCACATTGATTGTCAACTGTAGTACAAAAACACAGTTATCACCACAACAATACAGTAATATGTAACAGGTGGTCATGTGGTGTAAGTGGTGAGAAAACAAACAAAAGAAAGAATCAAGCAGTGGCACATGAGTAGCCCTTCCTTTCTGACACATTGATCGTTAAACCAAGAAAGTCAAATTGTATAGCAAAAAAAAATGGGTTAAAAAAAAAAAATTAAATCATTCAACTATAAAATCAAAGTTGAGAAATCATATATCAAGGGCTGACTGTACTGAAATTGAGTATATCAAGGGTTTCCTATACTGTACCTTGTTCAGGGCTAAAGAGGGTAGCTGGGTATTGAGAGTACAGTACCTGTATTGGCAAAGTTTTACATGGAGGTAGGCTGATATGGTCTGGACAATTATGAGGAGAATGGAAGAGACCAATTGGATCAAGAGGTACACGAGTCTATATGTGGAGGGAAGAAGAGCTAGGTATAGGCCAAGAATGACTTGGGGAGAGGTTGAAAGAAATGATAAACATTTACATAGTGCACAAAATAAATGAAGGCTAAAAAAATTCTTATTCAAGGTTTTATTTACTTTTTGGTAAAATTTCTTTACCAACAGGATCCTATCTTACATTTTTTTATGATCAAACATATACCACTTACATTCTACCCTGAAAAAAAGAAAAATGGCTATTTTTTTTTTCCAGTAATTCATCTAATATAAATTTGCAATAGGTATATAAAATGTCCTCAATTTCTCATCTATCCCACTGACAACTCTGTAAATCTATACAAGTCTCTCATATAAATCTTGAGATATCTGATACTACAAAAGTAGTCAAAGCAGCACAACATACAGCACACACATTACACATTTTTACCACATCCTCACACTGACTAAAGCATAGAGAAAAATTACAGGAAAAAAATAAACAGCACTTTTTACATTCTACAATAAAAATGAACTTTTGACATACGGTGTTAATAGCATAAACAGAAGAAAAGAGCAACTGAGAACATTATAACTCATGAAAACTGACATATACTTCTTGATACAAGGATGTATATTGTTACCTATGATATATTAAATTACTGTACAAGAAAAATTTCAGTACTACTCCTTGAAGAGCACAAACCATTTTAAGGTTATAAATTTAATGTTGACAACAAATTAATCAGCCCTTAACAAGATCACCTGAAAAAGATTGGAAGATTATTTTTCCCATTATTAAAAAATTAAATAAAAATCTATGTTCAAATTTCCTGGTGTGATAGTGTTACATTTGTTTGTTCATTTACATGACTGATGCTGCTATATAACATTCATCAGTGTGTGTGTGTGTGAGATGGAAATTAAAAGTTCAACAATAGTTGCTTTATCAATAACCTACATTTACAATGGTCAAGTAATAACGAATTATTTGGATGTCAGTTTTACCAAGCTATTATATGAAAACCTGTGGTAGATGAAGTACAGTATTGATGTAGTTTGGACATGTATAATGGAGGTAAAGAAAAATTACTAAACCAGTGTAACAGTCAATTAAGTGTGGGTAGAAACTACGGAAGACCAACAATGAGGTGGAAAGACAGAGGAATGGAGTACTATACATGTGGGAGGAAGAACCATGTATACATGAAGGAATCTACAGAAATGTAAAGAGATCATGAATTCTGGAAAGGTTCTTCAATGGCCACCCTACACTACAGCCTAAAGGATAAAGACAAGAGATATAATAAAATATACAACCTTACAAGATAATAACTGATTGAGACCAAAGAATGGTCATAAAATTCTGTCATGTCCAATTTTGTGTGGTGTTATGCTTCCTGGTGGACATTTAGCTTACATCACACTTATAAATACTATATATTTAGGTATATTGTTACATCAGCTCTGTCGGGTACTTCTATCTGATCTCGAGCCTCTTGTATAACACTCATTCTTCCAAGGATAAAAATGGATGCATCATCTTTTTGTCTATACATAATAATATATTCGGGACTCAGCTAATTATTTCAACCTGCACTATTAAAGTCCACATCAGTCACAACAAAAACTTAACATAAATGAATGACTACCGGTAAGTTTTCCAATAAAAGGATTCTTTTTTTACCTGACAATTAGAGTAAAAATGAATGTCATTATATGCCACTCATAAAGTAAATGCTACTTGGGACGATGTTTCATCAACATCATTCACTACATAGAACACAATGCAACTATACAAGAAGTTGTTGTTTAAGGATAAGAAAGGCAAAGGGAGAGGCAAAATGAAATAAAAGAAACGTTCCGTTCATTCCGACTCGAGCTAAAATCAATATATCTGAGCCAGAGATCAAGTTTTAAAGAGATTCTAATCACTAAAATTTTGAGTATCCAGTTTCAACATTATGTCCCAGAACCCAAAATGTTATTCCAAATCAGTTTTGCAGCTGTCAACCATCACATTTGATATTAAACTAATATGCAAGGGAATATCTTAAAAAGTGGTAAGAGACTGCCAGAGGACCCATGAAACCTGTTAATTCAGTCCCTATTAGAAAATAGGAATCTATTTACCTAAAACTAAAGCTTTTCTGTATGCATCAGATAATTTTCTACCTACACTATTGGGTAATTTCAATTTAAAGAGTTTTATTTGTGTGGGCGTTTGTGCATGTTTGCGTGAGTGTGTGTGTGTGTGTGTGTGTGTGTGTGTGTGTGTGTCTGTGTGTGTGTGTATGTTTGAATCAAATTGTTAGTAAGTAAAGTATTTAATTTTTACCTTCAGTAAATCCAAGCTATTTTAAGTGTCTTGTAAGGGGAATTACCACCAGGGTCACTAACCGACACTCTACAGAGAGCACTGGCTCTAAAGTACTGTACCTTAGGAAAGTGTAAACAAAGACCCAACAACAGTATGTTATTAAACAACAACTGATGAAGCTCAATACAGCATGATAGTTAAACTTATCATGCCACATAATAAGATTTAGTGAACGGACTCAAAATTTTACTTGCAAGATATTTACCAAATATTTTACACCCATTATATGATAATACTAACAAAATCCATAAATCTCAAGGGAAGATGCCACTGCACCAACCTCCATGGTAACATTGAAATGCATAAAATGGCATTACCGATATTTTTAATCTATGATAGAAATACTGTGCAGTACTATACTGCGCTTTGATCACCCACACTGATAAATAAACTTAACTGGTTCTCTACTCCAAAACTGCCACAATAAGGTAAACTACAATACTGTAATGTGAAACCAAACATATTTTAATAGAAAAAAAATAACCACAAACAACAAAATTCAGTTTGAATCAGCACATAAAAGTGAATGAAGATAACCAGATGAAAAATTTCATGGTACTTCTTCAATCTATAACCTGATGGAGGCTAAACCAAACTTATAAAGATATTGAATAACAATGATACACAACTACAGGTATACCCTGAAAATCGACGCCCCAATAACCGCCGATTCGCATAACGAACAATTATATATCGGGGAAATATCCCACAAGTTTCGCCGATCAGGAGAGGAGCGGCAGAGCTGTTTTAAAATTTGGCAGGCAGTTGCGTGATGCGAATTCTTGCCACGAGAGAGCTCTGCCTCTGACTCATTCCTGCCATCTTTGCTCTTGTTTACACTTACCATTTGACTCTAACTTCGTGTTTTTTCATTATTTCCAACTTCGTGTGTTATGCAATCATACCTAAACACCCCAGTGATAGTTCCTCTTGTGCTGGAGGGGCAGCTTGATGTGATGTGATAAGAGTGGGGATGGACCAGCAAAGATTGGCAGAGACTTGAACTTGCCACCCTAGACTCTGTCTACCATCCTTAATACAGGATAACAAGTCTCAATTTATGCTTTACATTGCTTATTTAAGGCTTAATATGCTTGCTTTATATGTCTGCTTAATTTTCTTGCTTGACAGTGTGCACGACAAAGACATATCTAGGGTAGATGGCAGTTTTTTGGAGGGTGGCCGGTCTCTAAACCCCAGAGTTTGTTATGTTCTTAAGGGATTAATTGCTTTGTTAACAGTTGATTCACTAACCAATGAATTTTCCCGGTCCCGATATGCATTGGTTACAGGGTACACCTGTATTAAAAAAATAAATAAAAAAATAAAATAAACAAGGCCATAAATTTGCAACACAGCAGATTATGACTAAATATGTGGAATACTATTAGAGTGCAGCCATGAGTTATACATCAAAACAGTAACCTACTCTTCAGCTGCTATTAAAGTACAGTGGTCCCTCAGTTAACGAACGATTCGATTAACTAAATTTCGGCGAAAGAATTACCTCCCATAAGGATCTTCAATTCAGTTAACGAACAAAACTTTGATTAACGAAATTCTTACGAACAACACATTTTTTGTGAGCATCAGCTGATCAAATGATGGGCTAGTCTGCCAATTAAGTAATCAGTTCTATGTTTACATTCGTTTCCAGTGGAGTAAATATCAAGAAAGTTGTGCTCTTTAATATTTTTGCAAACAGGGTATTTTATATTAAAATTATTAGTCATTTTAAAATTTAGTTGACATATTGATAATATATGCAGTACAGGGAACTATTTTTTGTGCGCCCATCAGCCGCTTGACTCAGCTACCAGGCGTCAGTGTGGCTTTGTTGACAGTGGAGTGAATATCTATTTTGTTGGTGTCTTGAATATTTTTGCATTTTTACATTGAAATTATTGGTCATTCTGAAATTTAGTTACCATATTGATAATATATAGCGCAGTGCAATGTTGACTTAAATAAAATAATCTTGAATTACACCTAGTGAACATAAAATTTTATTGGTGAAATTATTACATCAAGCATGGGTCCCCTGAAAGGTGATTTCTCCTCCATCCCCACTTCCTTCTCTTCTTCCTTCTCCTCCACCCAACTTCTAATTCCCATCATCATCATCAACCAGGAACCTTCTACATACACACCTCAAAGTAAGTGTACTTTACTGCATTTTTTTTTTAATTTGTATGTACTTTTCTGTGGGCTGGAGCCAATTACCCAATATCCCATTGAAACAATGGATTTGGTTAACGAACGACTCTGTGGAACGAAATGTGTTCGTTAACCGAGGGCCCACTGTACTGAATATACCATTTACTGTACAGGATTCATAAGAGGCAGCTCCTTTAGAATCTTTTCAAAACACTATGATCCATTCAATGCATGAATACTCAATGATAAAATTATACCTTACACCGATAAATTACTCTCTTCAGAGGGCCACGTTGAAGTAGGTTTGAAAATCTCAGCAGAGTTATTAACATTCTCGTCATCAGCAGCTACAGCTACTGACTTGACAACAGCAGGATTGGAGTCAACTGGTACTTCTATATGAGAACAATATTAAATTAATTGTCTGGTAATAAAATGTAACCATTATTTTTCCTTATGCCATGCATTCATATGTCTAGGCTAGAGGCACTTCATGTAACAAACATCCTTACTTCTAAACCTGTTTTAATCTCAATATGAAAAGTCTGTCCCTGTGTCCCATATCTTAATATAATTTTGTTTTCCTGCTTTAACCTTTTCAGTTGTATTGATATACTGTATAAGACACACTTCTTTTCCCCTAAAATGTCTCTAAAACTCACCCTGCATCTAACATGCCAAAAGTTAATCCTTGGGCTATGAGGCTGCTGACTAAAAACCTAGATGGTAATAGTTAAGGACAGTAGCACAGGTTATCAAGCCACCCAATGAAAAATATCTATACAAAAAAAAATAATAATAATATGAGTAAAGCAAATTGGGTGGAGTGGTAGCACCTTTCACAGCAGCTCACACTACTGCTCAACAGTGTTTATAGAGTGCTTTTATTGAGAACATGTGTTCTAAATAAGATAAACATTCTATTTTTTATACCAAACTGAAGAATGCATCAAATATTTTATTATACATATAAGTAGTAGTAATGAATGATTTATTGAAAAGTGGAGTATTCAACCACCACCATCTTGCATCAGTTACCCAGTACATCCATCTATCTACTAATTCTATACATATTGTTAAAACAACAAACATGTAACAATTGTAAAAATTAAAAAAAATCTTTTAAAAAATGTGCTAATGAATGATTTATTGAGACACATATGCATCACAATCTCTTTCTCAGAACTCATCAATTAATAGTGTCAAAATTTTCATATAAAATTAACAGTAATACAGTAATATCTCCGTTAGCCGGAATCTCTCAAACCCGGAACTCTACGTTAGCCAGAATTTATATTTTCTCAGAAATTTCTTTCCCAAGGAATAGTCATCTCTTTACCCGTAAATCTCTCATTCTCGGAAGTGCTCTGCACCAATTGTTCCGGCTAACGGAGATATCACTACACTCGTTTACTGTTTCTTGATAAAAGGTGTGCTTGGTGGGTCTTTTGTATAATAGCATGTGTTTTTTTTTTTTACTGAATACATACAGGCATTCCCAATTTACAAAAGGGCTCCATTCCTGAAAAACCCTTTGTAAACAAATTTTTTTTAGATTGGATCATATATTTCCATAGATTCCCATTATAAACCCTAAGATAGAAAAGTCCTAGGATGCCACAAAATATGTTTTTCATAACAACTCTGGGTGTACACTATAAAATAATGCATGCAATACAGTACAGTTTTGAAACAAAGTGAACAGTAAGAGATGTTAATAAATATATTAATGTACAGTAGCATATAATAATAGAGTATTGCTTTCCATTCTCTAATTGGATATACTGGATGTTCTCAACAGAAAAAGGAATATCCCATACTTGACCACTAATGGGTTAGGGTCATCCTCTCTCGTGTGATGATGACAATATTCAAACCTTTGTTCCAAATTCCCACTTTCTCTTACAACTCTACATCAAGAGGTGGGAAGAAATAAGGGCAATTATAATAGAAATTAGTGATATGGAGGAATACAGTACGATGATGATTTAGCCTGAGTCAGCACAGTACAGGGAGATGTTAGGAGGGCACAGTGGCCCAAACTATCATACTATATCACTGAGGAAGCATAATGGTACAGCAGCAGCTAACCAAGATTAATTAATATAATTTTATGGTTCTGTGGTATATGGCAATCTGTAAAAGGCCAATTCATTCCTTTAAATTTTATTATATTTCCAAAAGGAATATTAGGCTGGGGTAAGCAAAAATACACCGAGCTTAGGACTGAAAGGTTTAATTCTATTTTACGGTATAACACAAAAAAATGAAGGACTAAAATATAAACTCTTATTTCATGGTTGAAGGGAAAAGTTGGGCAATATTCATATGTCTAGGCATCCGTCCACAAAGAAAATTTACTGGTATATCATAATATAATTTTTGGATCTATTTTTTTATGGTAAACCTTGTACTGTATACCTTCAAGTTGCTCATGGTTATGATTCACTCGTAACATAATAGCACCTTGTTATTAATCTGTGATTTTTTTGTGGGTTGTTATTTCCAATTTTGTCTGAGAAATGAATCTCTTCGGCTAATTTCAATAATTCTTGACAGAGAAGAATTTGAATTCTCTTATGACAATCGTCTGAGATTGATTATATTATATCCTGAAAATACTGGAGAGTGGCAGTAAGCCTGTTTACACCCAACCGCCTCTTCAACTGTTTCTCTGATGGGGTCACCCCTAGTGGTGCAGCTCCTTAGGTTTAGTAGTATCTTGCTTATATCATAAAGGCGTTTCATTTACTGGACATGATAATTAGTATGTTTGTGGTCATTGTGTCCATACAGTATATAAGTGTTGTACACAATAGATATTTTAAGTTCATGGTCCCACGATCCACTGTACACTTGCTCTAAGTCCCTTAATAGCTTGTAAACTTATCAAGGCTTCCAGACTGTTGGGTCTATGGATATGCAAACATGAGAGGTTCTACTGGATAAAAACTCTCACTCTGTGTTATTGGTACACAAGTGCCCGCTTCTCTCCCAAAGGAATGTGCAAATCTGCTTCAGTTGTCAACCTATGCTTTAAATATGGCAAAGAATTTTACCACATGTTTTAAGGTCAAGGAATTCAAAGAAAAACATGCTTTGTGCAAATGGCAAAACACAGTTCCTACCCAATGGTTCATTGATATTAATGAAACCCTTTTACTAAATCTTAAAAGCAATATTCTTATAATGACATTCAAGTAAGATATAAACAACCTCACTTGCAACAAGAGTACAGTAGCCAACAAACACAATGATCCAATGAGAACAGTTACCAGAGGGAAAACTCCCTTGTTAACCATTACCTGGAAACAACTGGCTTAGAACAAACCTAGTAAGTTTGGGCAATGTTTTCAGTGGGCATTAGCTCATATGGAAACAAGGGGACACCCAATGACCCTTTTAGAGGGAATGTTGTAAGTAGATCCTACAAATCCCATAGGAAGATACCCTGTGTAACTAATGTTCATAACAGGACTTATCCTGAGACCCCTATTGAACTACTGTACACCAGAGCACCATAGAAGACTTGAGCAAGACACCCAGATCTGGGTAAAATTATCTATTGATGAGCTGATTTGAGTTAATACAACTAGTGTCAGGCATATTGCTCAGATGTGATGACCCCCACACACCAAACAAATCAGCCAACCCAAATACAGTACCTACTGTACCAGGTTCTTAATAAATATTAACTCTTGTAACATGTACTGTACCACAAAATTCAACTAAACACAAAATTAACACCTAGAACTGTGTCCACCAGTCAACATGAAAATAGTGCTATACCTGGGGGCAGCACTTAGCTTCCATTATAAGCAGAGAGAAGGAGCTTTCGATCTTGAGGTTTGTGTGATTGGAGCAAAGATGGTTGATCCAGTTGTGTTGTTTTCTGGTGAAACCAAACAAAGTGGGTATATGGAGGGCTTATCCTAAATGTTTGCAAAAGACTCCTTGCTTTTTCCCTTTTGGGACCTTCTAGCCAAGTGTATCGTTTGGAATCTGGTATGAAGATGAAGAATTCTCTAGTTTTTAATTTATTTAATTTTTAGAATCTAGTCGAAAGCTTGGGTCCCTGGAAATATGGTTTCCAAGTTATAGACTTCCTCACAACATAGTGTGCATCAGACTGGCACTAAGATAGAAAATAATGAGTTTTTTTTTCAATCTGAGATTTTTAAAGTCATTATATGCAAAGACACAAACTACATATTGTATTTACCTCCAGTTTTGGCTTTCCCATCCTCTGCTGAAGAGTCACTTGCTGGGGAGAGTGGGCTATATGTGCTAATTCTCTGACTGTAATCCACTTCTGAAAACAGGGTTGAAAATAAGAATGAAAGAGAAAGAAAATAGGGTTGCTGAAATATGTAATCTGAATGTAGTAATATACCCAGATCTCTGGTGCTGAAATGTAAGAGATTTGGGAAATTCACACAGGATGTGGTCCAAGGGCACATTTTGGGTTAAAATAATCCAATAATTGTTACTTTTTAAATGGCAATTGACTGATATCCTGGTTAATTATGTATTACCCGGATTATCATATGGATCTGAAACAAAATCATAAACAACAGAAATGATGTACTGTACTTGAGAACATTATAAGGGCAAAACACAATGTTGAGGATAAGAGACACACAGGGTGTCCATTGTCAAACATCATACGTGCATCGGCCATGTCTATTTATTTATGTAAAAAGGAGTGGTGGAATGGGTACCAAGATCCCCAGAATTAAATACCACGGATTTCACTGTCTGGGTTTTTCGATGAAGATAGCCGACTTGAAACACCTCAAAAGACAAATTCAAGATGAAGTCTGCTCCATCAGGTCAGAAATGTTGAGGAATATTCAAAGAAATCAGATTTTTTGTTTACAAACATGTTTTGAAATTGGAGGAAATAATTTTCTAAAGTTATAACTTGCTTTATAATAAATGTATTTTCCTATGATGCATGACTTTATGGACAACCTGTATACAAGGAGGAAATATTAAAGTTAAAGAAATACGTACTAGGAAAAGAGTGGATCATGGTCTGCTAAGGTGGTATAGACAAACTGGATGAATGAGAAGTGAAGTGGATGACTGAAGAGAGAAGAGAATAACATGAAAGAAATGGAGGGATATATAGGATGAAGGGCTCGCCACAAGTAAGGAGGATGGACACCAACAGAGCAGCAGAATGCATGAATAAGCATAGAGCAAGGCATCAAGTGATTTTTTGGAGGGAAAGATGTGCTGCTGATGGGTGATGTTAGTATCTGAGAAGTAAATCAGATATGAGGCCTTGCTGTAGAAGCTGAGTATCACAGCAGGACACATTCTTTACTGAATAATTAATAAAAGACAGTAACTGATGAGAAAATGTGAGTGCATATTTGTTCTCATTTCTAGCCATCCAACACTAAATAGCAAAGTCATGAGGAGGGAGAGTGAGGAAAGTCTCAAAGTCTGTGATTTATTTACATGATAAACCAATTTAGATCATGATTTACATTTGTGCCTTTTTTTTTTACGGGGAATAGCCAACCCGGACAAAGGTCATTGACCCACAACGGGGCCTGGGGCCCCTTCTACCAAATAGATGTGTTCCTAATAAGTTTCAAACATTTCTAAATTACATATATAGAAACTTATTTACCTGTAAACACCCAGTATAAATCTGGAGGTACAGTACACTTCTATGGGAAAAAATTGACCCCAAGACATGATAAAACTACTGCACTGTATGTTAAAAAAAGCACCTTATATTCCCATCAAACATTATAGCAGTATAGATATCTTAATCTGTCAAAAAGAAGTATAATCAATGCGAGTACCGTACTGTACAGGAGTAAAAATCAGTTTGCTATTGAGTGACTGCCAGCTGCCTGTCCTCCTCTCCTCATGGCCAGCGGTGTCATTTACATTGCTTACACATATTTACTGCACTTGATACAGTTCATAACATTGGTGTTCATAATAAATACAAGTATATACAGTATGTTGTTCATATGCATGTTTGTTTTAAACTACTAAAATTAGTACTATAGTTGAGTTAAGTGCTATTAATAAATATAAGCAGAATAAATTTTAGTGGAGGCCAGGCTCTCCTTGTCTGTAAACCTTTCTCAACAAGGTTCAATAGCATTTAGGATAAATGTGCTGTGGATGATGCTGGGAGTTACAATAATGAGATAATGATGAACTGTAATTAAATTTTGGTAAAGTTAAATATCCAATCTAGCAATAGCCTCAGAAATAAGTTATCTGGGAGTAAAAAAAAAAAAAAACACTTGTGGAGAACAGATAACTCCTACTGGCCATGGCCTTACAATTTCCAGTACCAGATGTACTGTAAGCAGTCCTCATTTAATTACATGTATGGTAGTGGTTGATTTATACAGTACTGAAGTACTGTCAACCAAGTGCCCAGGATCAACATCACCGCAGGATTTAAACCGCAAGGTAAGCAAAACTGTTTAACTATGCAAAAGAAATCAAATTCTCAACTCAGCTTTACATCAAAAACATCACTTTATTCTCCAGCAGTAAAGCTTCAGCAGCAATTTTGCTTTGTAAATGTGAACTTTACAGACCCAACAAGCTTCTCATCTGATTTCCTGACAAGTATGTAGTGAACAGAGGTATTTGTGCTCTAATTTAAAGATATTCATGAAACATCATTTGCCTGGAGGTCTGCCAATTCCAATTGACATACTGAAGAAACACAAATGTCACCTTCAAACAGATTCTGGAAGTATTATGCTGTACTGTACTTGGGTATTTTAACACAGTTGGGGAAATCTGAGGATATTACATTAAATTTTAACTGCATTAACTCCAGGGCCTCAAAACCTCTTAACAAAAAGCCTTAACACTGATTTCTACTCTTAGCTGCTTTGTGGAAAATACACTTTTGTCTACTGCTTAGATCTCTAAAACATGTCATATTATTTAAAATTTAGAGTAGGTAACGGTTTGTTAGGTTACGCTTGATTGGACTGTGTTGCATTGTTGTATTCTGACATACTTTTGTGCTCATAGTTTCTCATGACTGGAGGTTTGTTGACATGCTGAATGAGTGGCTGTGGTCCATTTAAAATTGTCTCTTGGGCTGGATCCAACACACTGCCAATTCTTTGTGGACCTCTGCACTGTATTAGTTCTAGCCACCAACAATCAGGGTTATATCCCCCTTTTTTTTTTTATCCTATACACTGAACCTGAACCAGGTTAGATTATAAATATGCTATTTATTTTTTTCTAGAAGTTTTCTTGAAATCCATGTAATAAAACAAACCCAATGTAGGAACAATTTGGTAAATCATAAGTGGTATTTCATGTTTTTTCTCTTCCTTTTTAATGGAGTCATCTATCACTCAGGTAATTCCCGAGCAATAATATACAGAGAACATCTGAACTTAAATAAAACTGCCCAAGATTACAATATTGATACTAAAAAAATCTCTGGAGTTGTATCATTTCGTACCTCAAGCAAGTTTGTTATCCTTAGTAACTAAGAAAAATAATTTCTGATACAGGAAAAAATTAATACACATTTAATGATATGAGGCGTTGAATAATGCAAGGGCGAACTCGCCACCCGAGCGAAAATACATTTCTTGTACCATTCATTTCCGAAATTTTCGTTCTACTATGATACAAGATGGTATGACGAGTTCGCCTTTGGTTTACTGGCAAAATCCCATTGAATCATATGGTGTAAAACTCCCGGCATCTCTGTGATGCCTGTGGTAATTTCAGTGTCTGGCGTGAGTAAAGCAAAGTTGAACTCACCAGCGGCCCGGCAACCAATCACAGCCTGCCGTGCTCCCTGAGCTAATCAGCATGTCGGGAAGGAGTGTGCCGACCAACGAGAAGCTCGCTACGTTCTATTTTCGGCGTCCCGGAGGAAGATGTATCTGATGATGATGATCAGGTAGACTACTAGCCACCTACCCTACCCCCCCTGCTACCAAGTTCTTTAGCAGAGCAAAAGCATCATTTAGTGTGTGTGTTACCATCATTTACTGGTTTTTTTTTACTTTATTACAATATAAATTTATTGTTTTGTGTACAGAACTTTATTATTTCATTATTTTCATGAATTTTAATTTCACACCATTTCATTATTTGACGTCCATGCGCACCAAAATCATACATCACACTTCATTTATTCCGAGTTATATTCTGCATTAAATTGCCTTTAAAATGAAACCTCATTGAACAGGACTGATGAATTTTGGGGGGTTCTATGATGTTTTGAATATGTGCAAACTTTAAACCTTATTTTCTAAAAAATGGTTTTGGTGAGTTTGCACTTGCATTAATCAATGCCTCATATACTGTATAAGATTCTAGCTCCTTACCCTGACTGAAAATACTGTATAGTACAGTACTAACCCCCCCCCTCCAAAAAAAAATACTGTATGTCAACAATGTACTTTTAGTCCACCAAATCAGATCTTCAATCTTGACTTACCATAATCTCTACTTGAGGTTCTGTTGCCGTCATCCTCTGGTGTGAGAAGAGCAAACCCACTCACGATGACAGGGTCTTGTTCAACTAACTGATTGGTGTCGCCTCTTGTCAAATGGTCTCTTTTGGCACGTTTGTGTTGAGGAGACCCTGAAGAACTGTTGCTGGAGGAGGTAGAGCTGGAGGTAGATATTCTGCGCCGTTTTCCTTGTATTTGTGCATTGATCTTTTTCTGTGATTTGTCTGGAGATTTTATCAATTCCTCCACTTTGTCAAACTTACCCTTTTCTTCAATTTCTCCATTGGCATTTTTTACTACGGCTCCAAGTTTCTGCAAGCACGACAGGAAAGTGCTTGTAACAATTTTATCGTCAATATCACCCTTGTAAATTACTATGTGCAAATCTTCGTCATCAAACCATTCACTGTATTCCATATCCATTTCATCTGGGACTCTTTTTACTGTTTGAAGATAATCAGCAAGTCTTGTATCCAATGTCAAGTCATCAAAACCTTCAAAGTCATTACCAACTGTCGTCTTTCTGTTATTGTTCCCAAGCATCTTTACAGATTTGTTCTGTTTGGCCTCAATGGTATCAAGACAAGAAGTTTTTAACTGCTTAGCTTGAGGTTTATGCTTAGGCTTTTTAGGGCTCGAAGGTTGATACTCAGGTGAATCATTATGGTTATCATCGCTATCCTCATAACTAAAAAGCAATAAGTTTCCATCATCATTCACCAGTACTAAGGAGTCATCACTGAACTTTAAGCCCTGTAGATCAACATTTTCATCGTTGTCAATACATTTCCTTTTGTTATTTTTCTCCTTTTTGTTCTCAATAGTTTTTTCCTTCTTCAAATCTTTATCTTCATGATTATTTTTTGTCTGATCTTCCTTGGGTTTATTCTTTATTAAGTTTTTATTCTTATTTTCTTTTTCATCTTGTTTTGAAGAACCTTTCTGTTTTTTAATGGCATGTTTTTCATCCTTATCAACCTTAGTCTCTTTCTCCTCCTTTAAAGATTTACTGTCCTTAATGGATTTACTGTGTTTGTTATCTTTACCATCTTTGCTACGTTTACCTTCTTTTACCTCCGTCTCCCTTTTATCACGCTTGCTATCTTTCACCTCCTTGTCACGCTTGCTATCTTTCTCTTCCTTGTCATGCTTGGCGTTTTTCTCTTCCTTGTCGTGCTTGGCGTCTTTCTCTTCCTTGTCATGTTTGATATCTTTCTCTTCCTTGTCAAGCTTGCTATCTTTCTCTTCCTTGTCGTGCTTAGCGTCTTTCTCTTCCTTGTCGTGCTTGGCGTCTTTCACTTCCTTGTCATGTTTGATATCTTTCTCTTCCTTGTCATGTTTGATATCTTTCTCTTCCTTGTCAAGCTTGCCAACTTTCTCTTCCTTTTCATGTTTGTTATCTTTCTCCGCCTTATCACGCTTTCCATCTTTCTCCTCCTTTAAGTGTTTGCTATCCGTCCCTTCCTTGTCTCGCTTTTCTTTCCTCTTCCGATCTTCTTTACTGCTGCTCCTGTGCTTTTCTGAGCGGCTCTTCTCACCCTCGTGCTTCTTGCTTTTAGACGAATGCCTGCTCGAGTGTCCCCCGTGTTTCTTGTCCGTTTTTTCTGAATGCACCTTGCTGTCCGATTTACCTTCAGACTTACTACTAGACTTGCTATCCAGTTTCCCGTTGATATTGTTTACGGATTTTTCACTTGCAATGCCATTCAGTTTACTGCTACTTTTGCTTCCTGATTTACTACTAGATTTACCTTCAGATTTTTCACTTTTATTGCTGTCAGATTTGCTGCTAGATTTACTGTCACCTTTGTTGCCAGATTTACTTTCAGATTTCTCAGTCTTGTTTTCTGACTTGCTACTGGATTTATTCTCAATTTTGTCATTCTTGCTCTCAGATTTGTTGTTGGATTTAACTTCATGTTTTTCACTTTTGTTCTCCATTTTGTTGGAAGACTTATTCCCATCTGTCTCAGGAGTGATGTCTTCTGATGTACCTTCTAACGTATCGACAGGTTTACCATCAGTGCTTTCATTTTCACTTACATCTGATTTGCTCTCCAGTGAGTTGGTGGGTTTGTTCTCTGCTTTTTCATTTACATTATCACCACCTCTACTTTTTCCTTCTGCTGATTTATCACTCGACTGGTGACTTGAACGGTCCTTTTCCTTGTCACCTGAACTCTTGCTTGAACTTGAACTTTCCCTGTTGGAACTTGAAGATGACTGGTAATGATGACTACGAGAGCGGTCCTTGTCACCATCATGATCTTTGTCCCTTCGGTGGTGTTTCTTATCCTTGTCACGATGAGAATGGTGGTCATCACGGGACTTTGAGTGCTTTCTTTCTTTATCTTTACTATGTCGTGAATCTTTATCTTTTTCTCTTTCCTTATCGCGTTCACGGCTGTGTGAGTCTCGTTTACTCTTGTGATCGCTCTTAGATTTGCTTGACTTGTGTGAAGTGTCAGAATGATGTTTATCTTCACTACGTACACGCTCTTCTTGTCTTCCTCTATTATCATTATCACTAAATTCAGAACTTGAAGAGGATATCTCCCCCTCTGATTTTTCAGATTTAACCTTCTCTTCCACTTCAGATTTCTCTGAAGCAATACTGACTTTTGAGAGAGAACCTCTACTCTCCAGTGAGTCATCATCTTGACTTATTAAGCTTGCACCAGACACAACAGTCTCATCATCTTTATCAGCCCCAACACTAGACTGTGAAGGTGTCTTAGCTGTGGTAGAGATGCCAAAACTGTGTGATTGAGGATCCAAAAACTTAGTTTCTGAGGTCTGAAACTCTTTGATTGTTTCAGAATCCATTGGTGACTGGCACACTTCATCATCAATAGGTTTCTCATCAACCAGTGGAGTTGATGTTGTGGACCTCACATCTTGTTGCATCTTAGGGCTCTCCTCTGACTTATCCATGTTATCTGCTGATTTTCTACTTCCAGGAGAACCCTTTCCTGACAGTGTTGAAAATGTAAGACCAGAGGAATTGGATGATATACTGTCAAGTGACTGGTCATCAAACAGGGCAAGTGGAGGCTTAGCTGTTGGTACAGGTTTGACATCCTCCTTGTCGTCTGTAATGCGAAGCCTCTCCACATGAGCTGTGACAAAGTCCGGGGCATTGTCAGGCTCATCATATGGAATATAAGACTCAAAACCATCTTGGGCATCTTCATCTTCAAGCTGTAATAAAAATATGAAACATAAGACTCAGTTTACTAATACAATCTTTTAATACAATGGTATTTGTATATATCAGGAGTGATCCAGACAGCAGGTTTTACAGTCCAGCTTGATACCGGATAATCAAAAGATGTTAAAATTTCCCACAATGTATCTTCAATACTCAAGGCAGCACTTATTCATGCATCTATGAATGTATCATGAGCTAGTCTATTTTCATGAATGAAACTGGGTTCTCTACTTTGTCCTAATACAGTTTCTATACTACAATACTGTGTTTTCCCAAATTTTCTTCTACCATACGTGCACTAGACAAGTGTACAGTATTTTTCTCTAAAATTGGCTCTGCTTTAATGATCATGTGATAAGTACACAAGTAATTTATGGCTTTAAGCAAAATTGTACCATTATTTCCTGACTTAATTACCTTTATAAATTTACTGGAAACATTAAAAAAATGGTTGTCAAAACTGGCATGATTAGATACTTAAGTGTGTATGAAGCAAAGTTTCCAAACAGTAAGTGAATATTTATTTTTTCACTGGTTTAATCTACCTTATGGATTAGTCTCTGTTTTACGTAATATATAATTTATTGAACTACAACATAAATTAAACATCTCCAACTTCGACCATAACCTGGGGTTAATATCTGGCCGGATACCAGACAACTACAAATATCCAGCCAGAGACTGCATAACTGCTAAAATCTAGCTGGACACCTTATCCAACGCACCCATAAAATGTATCTATAAGGGTCGTTAAAAGCTGAAAAGTCTACAAAATTACAAAAGGTGAGAAACTCATTTATTCATAGTGGAATGAGTTTAAAGATAATTCACTTTATGAAACACCAACATTCCAACAATTCAACAAACATGGATCTTACCTTTAGTTCATCTTCCGGACTCGGAGTGGATTTGTGATCACTCTCTGGGGATTCCCGAGCTAAAATATCGTCCTCTTCTGATGAGATGACATCAGTTTCCATAGGCAGGAGGCTGGGTTTGATCTCTGCCGCACTAGTAAATTGTAAATGAATACTTTCATCTTGCAACTCAAAGTGTGAACCTGCAATGGTATTATTTATATTAACTAATGTATCAAAATATCCTCCAGAAAGGTGGGGCCAGAGGGGAATGGTGTGATGGGGAAGGAAGGGCAATTGGTAGTTTTCCCAAATGGTTTTAGGGTTTTTGGCATTAGGGCACAGAAAGAAATGTATCAAACTCACATTTGGGGAAAAGAGAGGGGTTGGCAAAAATTTACAAGCTCACACCCCAACCACTATTTCTCAAATTACAGGCATTTCAATCTTTTTTTTTCTTCAGCACAATACTTAACTTTAAGATCAACCAGGGAACCACTGTAATGACAAAGTAAAGTAAACTACTATTCACACCCTTAAAACTCCAACCTTTTCAAACAGTTTCATAACATTTACAAGAGGAACAACTGAACACCCACCTTGTCTTTCTCTCTTGGGCTTGTCAATTTGTAGAAAGGTATAAACTGTGTCCTCAACATAGGGTAGGATTAATGGCTTGATTTTGGGATTGACCACTTGTGTAATAATGGCATCTATGCCTGAGTCCAGGATACCCAAGCTGGGAGCCAAACAATTACTTATTAGTTACAAAGATAAGACAATATATAACACACAAACAACTTCTGAAACTGACAGTATTAGAGATTTTCATGATAATACTAAAGTTAATCATTACGTGACTTTTCCATTCTTAATAAATTAGTCTTCCACATATCACAAGGACATTAAAGATTCAGATCTTACTTGTTGACATGCTTGCGTACACCATCTCGCAACTGATTCTTGTTCATATCATTTTTCCAAGTTCTTTTCTCTAGGAATTTGTTTACGTGACCTTCCACACGCTGGCGAAGGTTCTGGAAGGCTGGCTGAAATATAAATTAAAGACAACAGTATTATTGCAACAAAATAAAGGAATACCCTACATAGAAAAACTCTTAAAAGCCAATACAGTACTGTACTACATTACTGTGCACAGGAGCCTCATCTAATATATATTCACTTTATAAACATGAAAAGAAAAAATATTTACTGCACTGTACATTAATTATTAAATAAATATAATAGTAAGCTGTACCATTAAAAAATAAAATTAACCAACAAACATATCTCCAACCATCTTCGTTTACATCCTCTTAGCCAATCAGCGTTCATCTAATCAACATATACAGTGCTGCCTGCTAAAACTCACACAGGCCCGTGTCTTAGTACTTTCTCTACCTTTTTGCAATATATTAGGCCCATCATGTCTAGAAAATGACATGTACCTGAGTACAGTATTTGTAACAGAGCCTAGGTGGCCAGGAAAGGCAGTAGTATGGATGTGAAATTACAAGTGATACAGAAGAAAGAGCAAGTGTGAGGCAGCTGTGGCAAACAACAAGACAAAATTAACCGGTGAGTGACGAGTGTTGGTTAAATTCAGTTTCTTTTGTTATTAAGTTAACAATGTCACAATAATACTTGCACAGGAAGCTATTGACATCCAGAATGTTTAGTTCTTGCCACATTAATGCTCTGTTTGTTCCTCTCATTCATGGGAAATTTTTTTTATAGATGACTATAGTTTTATTCAAAATGATTATTTGACCAAAATTCTCAATACACTGCCCAGTACAGGGCAGTGTATTGTGGCCATTGTTGTTTGTTTGTTTCATAAATGACATGCCAGAAGCTATACAGTACATTCCACCATACAAATGTTTGCACACAATGCCAAGTTATTCAGGGAAATTAAGAACTGAACAGACTGTGAAGAGCTACGGAAAGATCTCTGTCAGCTTCAAGAATGGTCGAAGATATTTGCCAGAGTATTAGAGGAATGTAAGGAAGAAAAAATTTGTTTAACATATCATTAAAAACGGGTGTAGTACCAGAATTCCGGAGGATAGAGAATGTGATATCGATTTTCAAGAAGGGAGATAGATCACTATCCTCGAACTATTGTCCAATCAGTTTAACATCAGTTGTAGGCAAATTGCTGGAAGCAATAATTTCAAATCCTATTCAAAATCACCTGGAGAAGCACAAGTTACAAATGTGAATCATGGTTCAATGATCATAAGAAACATAAGAAAATAAGGAGTCTGCAATAGGCCGGTTGGCCTGTGCATGGCAGCTCCTGTCGAGAGTTACTACCATTCTCTATCATCCATGAATCTATCTAGCCTCCTCTTGAAACTTTCCAAAGTTCCCGCACTTACTACAAAGTTGCTAAGCTTGTTCCACTTGTCCACCACCCTATTTGTGAACCAGTTTCTTCCTATCTCCCTCCTAAACCTAAACTTATCCAACTTGAATCCGTTGCTCCGAGTCCTATCCTGCTCGGATATTATAAGAACTTTACCTATATCCCCTTTATTGATCCCTTTCACCCACTTAAATACTTCTATCACATCTCAAAAAATTCGTCCTTCATACCGATTGAACCCTAAGTATTCACTCATTTACACACTTTGTATTTCAGTGAACCAAAAGAGACATAAAACATATCTCAAACTCATTGCTGAACCTCTAGTCAGCTACTTGTTTGAAGCGTGAAAGGTGGGCCGAGTTGGAGGTGCACCGTTGTGACAGCACCAAGTGTGAGCTCTATCAAGACCAGACTTGACCAACACCGGAGCAGGTTCAGATACATCAAGGACCCAGTGTATGCCTAGTATTTGCTAACAGTGCCTAACAGAGATGTGACCGACCGCCCAAGCGGCTAACGAGCTGATCAGTGGCGAAGAGGATAAAAGTATAAAATTTTCCTAAAGCAGCCGCATAATCTTAGTGTCTGTCCTTAAATTATACTCATATTTTTCATTAGACGGCTGAATAACCCTGGTAACTGTCTTTAATTTACACCCAAAACCATTAGACATTACCATATTGTGATGGATGAGAAAATTTCCAGCCACTATTCATACAGGCTACGAGTTAGGTAGTGACATGCCTGAACTCATTACTGGGAAGTGTAAAATAGTTATAAGAGGAAATTCACTGAACACACTTTGAAATGTATTTAAGACAATGTTTCCTGTGGTCTCGTAGCCATTGCGTTGTGCACTTACCTTTGTATCAACATCTGCCAGACACTCTTTTCGGAACTGATCGAATATTCCTTTTGATTTTAGCTGTCCCACTATTGCTTCTACCAGCCTAGGATCTCCAGGAGGCAACTGCGTCACTGGAATATCCATTACAGTGGATTACAGTTGCTGGGGATGTCCTCGTCACAACACTCCTCTCATTACACAAAACAGAAACAACATTTGTCCAGCGGCTCAAAATGTTATTTCCTGAATAGAAACTTGGAGGTAATTAGTGTTTTTTATACATTAAATAGAACAATAAATAATTTTAAATATTAATAGAACTGTAGATATTTTAAATGTTTCACGAATTTAATTATATTTCTCTATTTCTAGAGTTGATTTTAAAATGTATTATCCAGCTCTCTCTCTAAGTAAACAAAAGAAGTTAATGCTTGCGCCATGTATCATCGCCGAGGAAAATGTATTTCTTTTAAAATGTATCGATACTAAAGAAAAAAAAAAACTAAATAAAACACATCGGCCAGTTGATTATGTAAGATCCCCAACTTGTCTTATCAAGGGATACTTAAAAGTCGAGCTCAGTTCTTTTTTCCATGGTATCTGCCGTAGTTGACCGTTTGATAATATACCAATTAGGGTCAACAAATAGTTCTTTATATTAGATCTGCCTGATGGTACTGTGAACTTAAAACTATGACCTCTGTTGGCATGGTTGAAGAAGTTGTGTTGGTTTACGTCAGTTTGCGCTTACCCATGGGCGTCACCGGAGTAAAAAACGTTGAGGGGGAACTAACACAATTCTATTCAGAGTTCATTTATTGTACTGTACACAAGAGGGTACTAGTCCGGGGGCCATAATTCCATAACTTAAATAAAATAAATGTACTTTAATACATTAACTTTAAACTGAGTTAACAGGTATCTTTGTATAGCCACTTCTATCAACCTAAAACCGCCCAGAGACCCTCCACTGACATCACATATCGTTCCGTGTATTACACCAGTACACACGCAAACAATCGGAGTCTATTGGGACAGGCACAAGGGCTACATCGAGACAAGGTGTGGCTGCAAACGAAGCTTTTTAAATTCTTACTCTCAAGAATTCATGTGGCGTGATTGTTTTTCACACAAGCTTCTGAAACTCTGAGTTACCACATTACTGTACAGTATCCAATGCTGATTACATTAGATACTGTATAGATTGAATATTGTTGTGTAACTCCTTAACTTGTATCTTCTGGTAACCTATCGATAAAGATGTAAAAAATAAGCACTGCTATTTGCATTTTTTTTATCCTTACTATACAACAATAAAATTGTTGTAGGGAGGAGAATTCTTGAGGTGGAGCAGGTTGGGGTGAAGATTCTTCAGGTATCTCCAGTTTGTCAACGTGAAACAATAAAAAAAAATCACAATACTTACGTGTTTTATCGTATACAGTACTATTGTACAGTACGTGGCAGTGCTTACTTTAACTTACTTGTAGCAAATTTATCACTTAATACTTCACAAATGATCAAGTCTTATTCTACAAACTTGGCAAAGCTTCGTGTAACGCAAGCCGTGGTAATAGTGTGGTCCGGCCAATGACGTCAGGTCATTACGTCTCCGTTCATTGAGTTGCTCCCGCAAACATTATTCTGAGCAAACACAAATGCTCTTAAATTCTTTCAGCGTGGAGGAAAAAAAATATGCCAAGGCTTAATAACAACTAAGACACCAAACAAGAGACTGTGGTTTACTGGAGCTTTTCTTTGTTTCTTTCTAGTTTCTGCCATATAAGTGGGCGGGAATAATTACACCATGAGTGGCCAACACAGCGTTACCTGACTATTCCGCCGCTCGTATTTTTCTGGCATATATTAAATGGTTTTGTAACTCATCCTTCACACCGCACAGTGGAGTAAGGTAAAAATATATTTAGACTTCAACTAACAGTTATTATTTTCAAAGATTACTCCATAAAATTGACAGGAAAACCCGCCAAAAGGAAGTGTTACAACATAAGAACAATGCGCAGCGGCTTCGTAAAGTAACAATAGCAGCTAGCCACTCTTGTCGCCTATTTTCCATCCAAATTGGTATATAATTTTCGCGGTGTGGGTCAGTTCATTCCACGGTGGCTCATGTCCGGTCCAAGCATATATTTGTCGAGGTAACGTCATTAGTGAAGTTCAAGAAATGTGTGATTTTTGTTCGTTGACAATTTACTATGGTATATTATCTATTTAGTAGGAAATATAATAAAACTAACGAACTTTATCATAAACATTAATATATATATATTTTTTGCAATATGACAATAAAGACAATGGTGGTTAAAGTTATGTTATTTCCTCGCTTCAGAAGTTCTTTTAGCACGCAACAATATTAGTAATCAAACTAGTCCATCAACAAATAAAAATTACGAGTGATGGAAGTTACTTTTATTGGTAGAAGATGTTTTACTAGTGAGCGACCATGTTGACCAATTATATTTGAGAGCTTAGAGGCTCTATTTTATTTATTTTTTTTCTACTCGAAATTAATTAGTCTCGTATTCCTTAAAATCAAAAAAATTACCTAATTAAATAAACTTAGCGGCATTTCAACTGATGTGTATTCCTAGTATATATTTATTTATTTACACTTTTTATTAAATTTAAAACTTTCATCGAACACACACACATACATACATACATACATATATACACACATACCTATATCTATGCCTCCCCTGCCTGGTCTTCCTCCCTAAATGCCACACAACGTAAACACCGAGAAAAAGTGTAAAAGAAGGCATGCAAGCTTATTCTCTCCCCTTCCTACTCCACATATCAAGAAGAGCTCAACACACTGACCCTCTCGGCGTTCTCTGACCATCACCACGACCTCATCTGCAAATTTGGTGGGAAGCTTCTGCACCATCCTGGACACCGGCTCCTACTACCACCCGAGATCCTTCGTCCGCAAATTGCTGTTCGACACCACAACCGCAACCAGCCCATATGAGCACGAACTGATCGCTATAAGAACAGTCCAGTCCCAACAATTGTACAAATTATCAATAACTTGTAATCAACCAGTGTATTCACTCCCAGTCAATATTACCTTTTTGCACTGTCACTATGTTGAAATGCCCTGTAGTATGACCTTCTCCCCACCTTGTTATTATATACCATATTTGTATCACATATATTACTTGTATATTATTTCTCAATCAAGAGACCCATTCGCCAAAAAATGTAACTGTATATTTTCAGCCTTCCGGCTGCCATGCTCTTACAATAAACCGTTAATTATTATTATTAGTATTATTATTACATACATACTCAATAACACAAGCGCGCACTTATACAGCAAACACACAAACAGGGCTCTAGTTAGTTCCCTCTTACAAAATAGTAACCGTCAAAATTTTAAGATAAATTGGGTGTATTACTGACAAAAGTTGCCATCTCATTCGGACGGGTTTGATAGGATAAAGAAACGCCCAAGACCCAGGTGTGAAGGACAAGTTGGATGAGTGTACTGTATATGTTTATGCTGGGATAACAACGCAGTGCTTTTGTCACCCTAATTACAACCATGAAATGTATGTATGTATGTATGTACTGTATATACAGTAGACATACACACCTGGAAAACGTTCTCACTGACACACACACACACACACACGTCACTACACCAGCCACACACACACACACGTCACTACACACACAAACACACACACACACACACGTCACTACACACACAAACACACACACACACACAAGCGCGAGACAATAATTACCAGCATCCGGAAGTGCGTGTCACAACCAACATCCTTGTCTTAGCAACACGTCCGGGCGGCAGGCAGTGGACGGCCGGCAGCGTGGGAGTTACCTGACGCACCACGGTGCAGCACACGACAGGTAGTACCGGGCCTCCCTGTGTCTGTCATGCACAATTAAACTCATGGTTGTAATTTTTTTCAAGCGCATACAGTTAAAAACGACGTCCTTCCCCGCTGTAAAATTTCTTGCGTTAAAATACACCTTCATTAATGATACATTCTTGGTGTGAAATTTTAAATGCAGTTTCTTGCATTAGTTGACTCACTGAAGAACTTTTGACTGACAAAATTCTGCTCGTTTTTTTTCTGTTTTTTTTTCAGATGGATTTTGAGTTTTCAGATTTGGTATTTTTGACAAAGTAATGTGTCATGTCGCTTCTCGGAGCAAAGTCATTCATTATAAAATGCGTTTGTGGATAGTGATGACAGAAAGGCCAATTAACAATGCATAATATATCGCCTATTTCAGCATCTAATAATCATCTATAATTCTATATACTTTTCATTTTATATAATAATGGATAAAGATACAGAGGACGAGGAAGTGAGTGAGTGAGTGAGTGAGTGAGTGAATGGGTGGGTGATAGTTGGGATATAAATTGTTATGCTGTAGACGTGATTCATAAGCGCTGTTCTCATACTTCATACAGGTTATTAGATAAATTAAGGTTTGTTAAGTCAAATTACAGTACAGTGATTGCAACATATACTGTTATTCGTACGTAATGAAGGTTAGGTTAGGATGAGTAACTCTGAGTTATTACAATTAATATGGTGGGTACGAGGACTGGTCACACACACACGTCTGTCTTTTGCCATAAACTTTTCCTCCCCACTTATATAAACCTCAGTGAATTTCTTTGTTACTCTTAATCTCACTCAATAACCAATGAGGACTTCATCTAAGAAATCGACACAAGTCACGGAACACTTTTACTTGGCAAATTCTGTGGATGTGGTAATTATTTGTGGCCGTCTCTGTGTGTGTGTGTGTGTGTGTGTGTGTGTGTGTTCTTGACGTCTTTACCCCTTGATGTTGTCTTGCATATAAATCTTCTGATACTCGAGTCCGTCTGTATGAATGGTGGAAAATTTATTCTTGCGCGAAAAATAAAAATATTGTATCGCATAATTATTTACCCCTGAGCGCACCCCTAATAAATAAATCCACCATTATAATAGAAGGTTAAAAGACTCTTTCGTGTTTGTTCTGTCTCATCCTTGGTATTTCCCGCCGCCAACTACGGTATCAGTTGACAACGTAAGAGTGACGACACGAACGCCACACTCGGCCAGCGAAGACACTACTTACATGACCATTTTACCACGACCAATACCCATTGTTACGCTCATGAAGCCACTCACGACACCTAATGAAGTAC